TTTCAACACTGATGTGGAAACTGAAATGACGCCAGAAATACCGGAATTCCTTTTCCCTTTAAGAGAGTGTGTGTCTCTCTGTCATCAGATGACATCACACTCTTCTCCAAGCTGTGTGTTAACATGAAATTGTTGCTTTTCATATGCACAAACTAAGAAGGAAGAGTATGAAGATAAAAAATGAATGCATAAAACTGCCAATACATAAATACTAAAGCAAAGACCTGCAGTTAGGGATGAAAATCTGAATAACTTGAAACGCTGTTTCAGTACAATAAAATACAGCACCACTAATTATTAAACATGGTGGTTAGCACCATCGCCTCACAGCAAGAGGGTTCCCGGTTTGAGTCCATGTAAGGTTTATTGGACACTCCGAACTGCCTTTAAGAGTTAGTGTGAGTGTGTGTGGTGGTTTGTCTTTGTGTGGCCCTGCGGTGGACAGGGGACCGTCCAAGGTTTCACCCACCTCTCCCCCATTGATTGATTACTGGGTTAGGTTACAGTCCCCCCACAAGCCCATTTGGGAATAAGCAGTTCAGAAAATGAATGGATGGATGGATGGTACAATATTAGTGTTCATTGTTGTTAATGTCAGAAATGTACAGGAACAAATAGGTCATTTTCAGCGGTGAATAGAATTTCCTCTGAATTACAATGAGTCATCACCACTATGTTGATAATACGCGTTTTAATTTAGTTTTAATCAGTCTTTTAGCTTGTATTTAAATTGGACTGGACTTGGTGATTAGCGTTGTCTCTCCTGACCTTTATTAGCATTTTAACAACCTTAACCTGGTCATGCTGGTGCCGAACTGCCAGAGAGTTTTCTCAACTTTCAGCTGTAGGGTTCAACAACACGACGGATGCGGTTCATTTGAACATTATCGGTAGTATTAAGATAACCCTTCTCCACTGAAAACCTTCCAGCAAATTCTATGCTAAAAGACGTGTCTGCTCCTTTGCAGGAGGTGTAGCTGGGACCAATGCCACTGAGCCGGAAACCACGGTCAACATCACCTCCCCGATCGTCGAGGACCAAGGCCCAGACAAGGCGACTGAAGTCATCACCGCGGTAACCGGGATGGCCGGCGCCGCCACTTCGGCCCCGCTCGGCGCCGTGACCCCCAGGGCGGGGCGCGTCCCCCGGGCGGGCGAGGAGGAGGAGGAGCAGGGCAGCGGCGTGTTCGGGGAGACGCTGTTCCCGGCAGCGGGGGGGGCGAGCGTGGCTTCGCCGCCGCCGCCGCCGCAGCTCAGCCCCGATTCGGCCGAGACCGAGCACCTGTTGCCCGGCAACCCGCGCAAACCGGAGGCCGAGGAGGGCGAGGAGGAGGTGGAGGAGGAGGTGGAGGATGGCGAGGAGGAGAAGCGGCTGCCGCGCACCGACCCGCCTTGGATCCGCGCCGAGGACACGTCCGTGTTCGACCTGGACCGCCTGTTCACCACCACCCCCCCCCCCCCCGCCGCCGCCGCCACCAACCCCTCCAACCCCGACGTCCTCCACGTGGACTTCTTCGACCCTTCCTCGCGCGGGCGCGACCTGGACCTGGACCTGGACCTGGACCCCCCCTCGCCGTCCTCCGTGGCCCACGAGCTGCAAGGCGGAGACGCCACGTCCTGGGCCATGCCGGAGAACTACGACTACCTGACGCCCTACGAGGACGGCGTGTCGCCCACCGCCGACGAGTACACCTACAGCACCACCACCGACGCCTACGAGAGCGACGACGACCTCCGCGACGCGGCGGGGCCCCCCGCCCGGGCCAGGCCCCAAGTACCGGGGGCCTCCTACCCCGACGGGGCCCCCAACGGGCCCGCGGCGCCCCCGGCGGCCGCGTCGCCGAACGGGTGCCGCCTGGGTTTCTCTCTGGTGAACGGGAGCTGCCGCTCGGCCTGCGACCAGCAGCCCAACTACTGCCAGAACGGGGGCCAGTGCTACCAGCTGGATGGCGTGGAGATTTTCTGCAGGTAACTGGTTACGTTGTTGACGTCTTTTGTCAAATGTGTACCGACAGTTTTCTGTCACTTTTGCGGTTTTAAATAGTATTTAACTCATTGGCTGCCAAAGACGTCTATAGACGTCAATTGAAATACAACCGTTGACTGCCAAAGACGTCTATAGACGTCTTTTATGTTTTTCAACGAGAGTGGCTTGGGGGACGATCGGCTAAAGCTTTTCCGTAAATATCGGCTTCCAGACAGAGTATGTACTAACAAATTTACCCTCTAGGTAGCTGTGCCACTTTTGATGGGAGATGAGCATAGATTGTAGGCAAATTAAAAAAATCGTAATGGTTCGCTATGCGAGAAATGTCACCGGTGAAACGCACGTCGAGGAAGAACGGAGTAAGATAGAAACAAATTTTTTTTTCCTGATGAAAGAAGAGAGTCTACTTTTTCTTTTGGTGTGTTCGGTGTTTACAAGTATTCCATATATTTTTTATATTTTTAACGTATACTCAACGCTTATTTAAGTTTTTTTAAACTGGGAGATTAACTCCGATCAGGAACTATAAAGTGATGTTATTTTCATATTTGGCCCGTCCTTTGACAGTTCTGTGCCCTAGAGGCATCCGTCATAGGATGAGCTAGTGACTTTCCTCGGACTCGTTCTAATAGGGTCACTATTGTGATGAAACTAGGTGGGGTCAAAAGTCAAATGGATTAAGAGAATCATTTATGCAAATATGGTGTAAGCCACCGAGCAGTTTTAGTCCCGAACGAGGCTGTGCTTATTCAGGATTACAGTTGCTACACATGGGGGATGGGTGACTGATTTCGGACTATGGAGGTATTTTGAATGGGATATTATAGGGTCAGTTTTATATTTCTCTGTGCGGCGACCTGTTTAGGGTCTGCCCCGCCTTTCATCCATGAGTGGAATGAGGGAAATAGAGAGTGGAATATTTCAGGTACAGGGCCAAAGTTAGCAGTCCTTGGTAATAATGTTTTGCTTTTTGCCTTCAGAAATGAGTGTGGCCCCGGCTCATTTGACAGTAATTCTCAGAAAAACCCTTTTTGCTGTTGCAGATTTTCTTCCATTTAAGTCAACAAGCTTGTTAGCTTCACAGTTAGTGGGGCAATTTATTTATTTGAATGGTGCCAATACATTTATTGTTCAATAAAGAGACAATAAAGGTAATATACCTGTTTGGATCTTTTGAATAGAAATGAAAAGCCTCTTGACAGGAGAGGTTTACACTATAGCTTTCTTTGTTTTAGAAACTCAAGCTCTCAGACCTAGAATTTACCAATATACTTTCAAAGTTTGGTGTTTTGGTTCATTTAACTTCTATTCACTGTGAATTCATGTGCACATGGACACATTCAATAACTGAAAACAAAACAGTGCCTGTTTCTTTGTTATAACTGGACAGAATAGAAGCCAAAACAGTGTTAGGAAATGCAAAGAAGAAGCCCAACAGCTCTGTGTGATTTACAACTATTATGGCATAAATGGATCAATGGAAAATCGTTTTACATTTAACTATATGTGGATACTGCATTCTCTCAAATTTCAAGCATACTCTGAGAGGTCTGCGCTTAGGAAGATTTCTACAACATGTCCTCGGGGACAGGTTATAAACAAATGGTCCTTTATACTTTAAGTATGAGTGATGTGAGCAACTCCATGAAATTGGTTGAGTCTAAAGCCCAGAATCATCTTTGTTTTCTACAAACGATGAATGAAAAGAAGACTTATTAGAAAACGTAAATTTAGAATTTAGTATTTGGTGTGGTGGATGATTCGACAAGAGGATAAAAACATCAGTGTTGTGCTATTTAAAAAGATTTGAAGTGTCACTGACTTTGAGGAAAACCTGAGCTTTGCTCACATAGTGAGTCTGAGAAACTCTTGGTGAGGTGACAGTGAGATCCAGATATTCAGGCTTGGCTCCAGTCAGCAGATAGTAGCAGTGATGAACCTCCTGAGAGTGAATCAGAGATTCTGAGAGGCATTTGACTGCTGGGCAGGAGCATTATATGGGTCAATGGAGTGCTGGCACAGATGAAGACCAATATGTTCCGCTCTGTGTGTGTGTGTGTGTGTGTGTGTGTGTAGGCATGATTGTGCAGATGATTACACGTGTGGCTGAGTTTGCACGCACATGTGAAACTGTGAGTTAATGAACATTGGGTGTAGATTTCAGCGGCTAAGCTCGAACAGCTTCATACATGACAATTCAATTACAGCGGGATGAATGTCTGGACCACAGCCCCCCCCCCCCCAGCTTTAGAGCACATGACCCTTTAAAGTGCTGCTTACTGACCTCAGACCAGCCTTAGCTCTTCTTCCCCACCAGGCAGAACCAGGAAACTTTTATCTCGACGGGACTGAGGTCATTTTCCCGAAACCTGCCTCATTATTTGGCTCAAACAATGCTGAAATATCATTTTGAGCCACAGCTGCAGAATGGAAAACAAATTATAATGAATGTTCATACATTTTTATGAGTATATTTAGAACCTCTCCAAGTTTTTTTTTATAATTCACTTATATTTACTCACACATATGAGTGAAACAGGCCTATAACCCCCCATCTTTATGCTGCATCCAGCTTGACTCTGAGGGTCATCAATCTATTTGCACAATTAAAACCAGGAAAAGAACAATAAAAGTTCAGAGACAGGATAATCAAACTTTTTCCCTCCGATTTAGGACACAGATTCAGATTAACTTTACTCTACTTCCGCTTTTATTACCAGCATCTTTTAATAAAATATGAAGTGCCGAAGCTACCAGAAGAGGTTTATTTATTTCAAATTGTTACTAGGAACTCTTTGAAATAGGGACCTGTTAAAATATATAGATATATAGATTTGCAGTTCTTCCCTAGCCTTGCACAGTTATGATGATAGATTGCAATCCTTGAATGGACAAGATTTTTAAAAGTATGGAAATTTGTAAATATGAACTGTTTCATTAAAACATGCAGAGTTACACATGTGCAAGACAAACTTAGAGCTCAGTTTGAAGATGTGAGCAGCAACGCTACAATATGATCTCTTGTTTTAAGGTATCTGTGGCATCTCCGGCTCTGGCTGCTCTGTCCCTCCGACCAATGGGATCCGACAGCCTTGGAGTCATAAACTGCTCCCCTTCACAGGAGCTGCAGGACTGGCGACCATATTCGGAGAAAGAGATGGGAACAGTGAGGGAGGGAAAGAGCGAGGATGGGTGTCAAAGAAGTATGGCACAGGCGGATGTTTATGGTCTCCTTGTTAGAGTCTGTTAGAGAAATGGGACTTTGGGATAAAGGGGAAGTAAGGGACGTGAACAGAGACTAAAATGGTGAAATTGAGGTAAAAACAAGATCGTATCAACAGGAAATGAAAGAGAGACTGAGACAGAGGGAGACGTGGACAGATAGAGAAAAAGAGGAGGCAGTGGAGAAACTGAGTGTGAGAATGAGTCAGAATCGTGTAACGTTTGCCAGTGTGGAAATGACTTGGGCGAGCCAGCTCGGATTTACTGGCCTGTGTGTGTGTGTGTGTGTGTGTGTGTGTGTTTGGGCCTGTGCTTTGCAGCTTGATGTAATTAAAGCAAGTTTAGAGCACCAACAGCAGTTTGTATCCAGTTTAGACTTCATACTCCCATCGTGGCAATGCTCAAACACACAGAAAACCCCCTCAAAAAACACACAAAGTCCACATAGAAGATTATGGCTGCAACAAGGATCACTCATAATTCAAAGAGCGTGGGGTGGTAGAATCAGGCCAGAGGTCAAACATGGGGGAGAATTACAGGGAGGGCCAGAATTAAGACGCACACATTTAGTTTTGGACATATTTAATGGCTGACAACACGCAGAGTTTTTTGGCTTTGTTCATCTTGACTAACAGGTTCACGGCGAATACATCGAGCACAGAATAAACAAATCTCCAGAGTAACCCTCCCTTTGTTTTGGTTTCCGTTCACATCAAGTATCTGTGAATCTTTATGCTGCTACCTCAAAACTGTAGGCATATCTCCATTGGTTTTGTCCAGATATATATTTTTTTTCTTTCCACAAAATGCAACCAGATGCTTTTAGACTTTATGAGATCTCTAATCTAATAAATTTAAGTATCCCCCACCAGAGGGATTCTTAACTCTTTAACGTTGGAAGTTTTTTTTATGTCCAGCCGCATAAAATATGCTGTCATATTTACCATCACACAAACCAAAAGATAATATACATGTGGATGTAATGACGTAGTAAAAAGCACAAAATTATACTGTATATGCAGTCATTTATTGAAAGTAGAGGCAGTACCATCAATGTTGGCCTAAAATCAGATCATGTCATGGAGTACTAAAAAAAAAGGACATTGAACCATAAGATATACACCAAGTCAGGTTTAATGGGTCACACCTTGGTTCCAAGGATGGTGTTTTTTTTTCTCTAATGAATGATCTTTTGTGCTTTTGCTGGGGGAGACGAGCAGGAATAAACCCAGGCCGCCCGCAGAGGAGCAAAGGGCCTCCAAACACGGGCTGCCAGCGCAACTCACTGAGCTAAATGGCATCACGATATGGTCAGTTTTAAATAATAATAAAAAAAAAAGACAGCCAGGGTAATTGCTGATTGTTCACACACAACACTGTGGCTGTGCCCACTTTTTAAAAGTCAGATAGATGAGTCAGCATAACTGAACCTGAAGTTGGGTGCAGTTGTGCATCCAGTTTGGCCTCAAACTGATTTAAACCCCTTTTCCATCTACCGTTCCTCAGGTTAAATAACCCTTTAACATTTCAGGACTTTATCGGACCTGCTGGTAATGTAACTGTGAAACACTTTCAGTTTGACCTACGGTTGATCAGCTCAGTAAAGACAGATTTAAGATCATCCCAAAAGGTCAGTTTTTATTTCACATGGTAATTACACTGAGTGTCTTTTAGCAGATCTATTTGTGCTGATCCCAGAAGGAATTGATCGAGTGTGGACTGAAATGTTCGAGACACGAATGCCGGTAGTGGCTGTAAACAGAAACCGGCCCCTGCCGGTAGCATCCACTGTAATTTAATATTTGGAGGGAATTCAGCTGAATTCCCGAGCCAGCTTCTTGAAGGCAACTTTTGTGCTAAGTTGCTGTCTTCCTGCTGAGGTCATATGCAGAGTTGTTTCTGGTGAAGGTCTTGGTTTCATTGAAGTGCGACACTGAGCATGTCTGCAAATCAGCCATTTAGGTTTTGGTGTTGCTTTTTTTGCTAGCTTTAATAAATCGCAAGGTGTTTCTTTATCTCTTCGTAGAAAACTACCACCTTGTGCATTACTGAGAAGTTTATATATATCTTTACCCATGTCGACTTAACCCTTTAAACAGTGACTCTATGCATCCATTTGTCTGATACTGTCGCCAACATAGGAACGAGTGAAAGCGTGCAGCTATTTTTCATTAACTTTACCTCACGTCAAGTCAGTTAGATATAACTCCCTTTTAGACTTCTTTAAATGTCTAATGTGATTAAATCAAAGTCCGAGGCCATTCCTCCTCCTCTCTGTCAGCCTTGTAAAAGCCATTCCAGTTTTTAATCATGCCCTCAGCCTGACCTGTACTTTCCTCTCCCCTCCCAAAGTCCAGAGTGAAATGAGAAAGTTTCCTTTTATTGGAAAAATAACCTCGTGTGAACCTTTTGTTTCAGGACCAGTTTTGGGTTTTTTAGCAGCAGCATGGTGCACCCTCTCTTGCTCTTGGCTGGCCTCTTTGAGTGTTGCTGACTCTAAAAATTTTTATCTTCTTTCTGTGCAGTTTTTCCACAAGAAAATGTTTTGCCTCAAGAGACACATGTTCAAAATATCATAGTGTTTTAAATGCAAAACCGGACTTCATGTGAAACTCTTTAGATTCAATCCTTTAAAGCCAAACTTTCTGATCATTTTTCTAAACTAACCTCTTTAAGATAAATGACTGCTCTCTGCTGGTTCCCTCTCACATCCCCCCGAAAAAAAACATTTTTGTTTTTGCTCTCGGTAAGGTTGAATTATTTAGCAGGGACAAAGCCCGGCTATCAGACAGGCTGCACAAACCTAAAGCTTTGATACCTCCATTAGAGACCCCCCCCCACCGGGATTCAGTTGGTTACCCGTCCAGATTCTGGCCTGGTCAGGGCTCGGTGTACTGTTGCACGTCTTCGATCTGAGCGTAACGCTAGAATTCTGTATCCTCAGTAAGGTTCTTGCCCATTTTCACCTCGTCGTTACCCTTCTTGGGGGACTTAGTCTGCACCGTTTTCTTCCTCAGTCGGTAAAATGGCCGTAAAAGACCCTCTTTTTTCTGTCAGTCTGCCTCCTCCCCTCTTAACCCAGCAGGTCAGGCCAAGAAAGTAAATATTGAGTGGATTTATTAACTCCATTAAATGCTGCTCAGCCGTGGTGTTATTTCTGCCGCTTTCTGCCCTGCGTGTGGCTTTTCTGAGCCACAGCATAGGAGATAATGATGGGCTGGGCGAGAGTGGGATGCTTTTGGGAATTGTGGGAAGTCTAATAGTGGAAAAGGAGTCGCTCTGGCTGCCTCTTCTCAGCCGGAGGAGAATCGGGGGTGAATGTCACTCAAAGAGTTTGACAGGATAAGGGGTTTCCTTTGTTGTGATGAAGACTTATTTCCAATTTGATTTTTAGCTCTTTGCAGCTGCTTTGGGCATAAGATTTTTTGGGAAGACGAAATCCATTTGTAAAGACGGTGTCAAGATTCAGCCAAAAGCTACAGCCTTTCTTCATCTTTCTGTTTGCTGGAATGTCTTCCAGCTCTCTTAATGGACAAGCCGAAGTTCCCACAAATCTCTGCACTTTTTGAAGTCCTTCCAGAGTCTGTGGCTCTTGTTTTCCGAGTTAGAAATGAAGATACATCTCTAAAACAGGCTCCTGTTTTTTTTTAGTTTTTTTTTTTACATACCATACAGTCCTGATCGGACTGGTTTATCTAGAGGCTTCAGAGCAGCACGGTTCAGCGGCATCCACTTCCTCACTGACTTCATGTTCACGTCCAACTCCATCTCAGTGAATGAGTTTATTGATCCTGGCCCTTATGGCACCAAAGCCGCTCTCCGCAGCAAAGTGAATCACATCACTCTGTATTCACCTTTTAAACACAGTGGTGAAAATTGCACTTGGACCAAAAAAAAAAAAGTCTGTGTCTTTAAGGTACAAGTGGCTGCATGTTGTCCCTTTTTTATGTCAAAATTCACTTAGTTGAAATGGTTAAGAGACAAGATGGGATTCAGCTGGAGGTGCTCGGCAGAGTAAAGGAGAGACGAGACAGCTGGACTGAGGACAGAGGCGGGATGATATATATTTTCTAGAGGACGAGCGGCACTGAGGGGGCGGATGGAGGCAGAGAAAATGCTGAACTGGCCACCAAAGCGGAATTCTGTCTGACTTGGCGGCCTCAGCAAAGACGCACGCCTGTGAAAGCGGGACGTGAAAGCGAGACGTGCCAGCGCCGCGTCTGCTCCATTTGCTGCTCAGCTGGGTTGCCATGACGACCAGCACATCCTCGTTCACCTCCTTCCTTTTTTTTTTCTGCATTCCTCCCCCCCTGCCTTTTATCTTCCATCCCTCCCCCATCCTCACCCTCCCTCCATCTCACACGGACTTACATAAACCTCCTCTTTGTGTGAGCGCAGAAACACTCGGAGCTCCGAGTGCAGCAAAGTCTCCTTAACAATGTGGTATCGAGGCTCCGGCTCTTTTTCTCCTCTTCTCACTCATTCCCACTCTAAAAAATGTCTCGTGGACGGTTGCCAGCGTTTCCTCTCAGCTGGCAAAATAACAAAATATTTAAAAAAAGGATTCAAGAGGCATTCAGGAAACCAACCGGTGAAAGGAAGCTACTTAGCATGTGGAGAGCGTCCTGACACCTTCATTCACTCCCACACGCCCTCAGCTGGGTGTGTGGACACCAAATTTCTAATTCAGGACGAGAGAAAGCAATGAATTGTGCTTTCAACACGAATCAGATCAGTTTATCCGACTGAAATGTGCTTTCATGAGCAAAAAGGTTTTATTTGCATCTAAAAAAAATCTATTTTAAAATAAAGCTTTCGAAGAGTTTTTGTGCACAACTGTTTTTTTAACTGACATTTTCTTGAGCATAAGAATTTCTTCTATTGACCACAGAGGTTTCTGCCTCTGAGGAGTCATCTAGGACAGGTGTATCACCTGATTCAGGGACACTTCAGTAAGTAGACAGGAACATTTTTGTTTTTGTTAGAAAAGCTCTTCGTGTCACTATATAGTATGTTTTCTGCAAAACAAAAAATTCAAAACAGGAAGTGCTCTGTGGTTCATCCAAACTCATTTTCATGTCATTTTAATAATCCATTAGCTCACATGACAGTTATTTTAACCAGTTGACACTTCCTACTCACCTTTGTCATAATTATTTGAAAGAAGGGACTTTAGCTTTTACGACTTCTCGGGTAAAAGGCTGCTGATTTTGAGTTCTTGGTTCTTAAAACTATTTTAGCCCTCATTCAAAAGGCTGTTTCAGACCTAACTGACTGGTGGAAGTTTTTGGCTGGTCAGCAGATGCTTTTCTATTAAACATTCACACTTTTAGAGGCATTTAGGTAACGTGCGTACTGATGCCTGTTTGTGTTTGTTTACCTGTCTGGCCGATGTGTGAGATGTTTGGTTGTAAGATTGGAGGTGTGATTCACTGCACGAAACCCATCTTGGGGGGGGGGGGCAGTCAGGCAGGTGGGTGACACCTGAGCCCACCTGCTTGTTTATTTCACTCCCCTGTCGCTATCAGAAAATAGACCTTCTAATGACTTTCTGTGGACACACTTTCTGTAAACAACTTGTTTAATCCGGATACGAACCATTTGGTTCGAACAGTTGAGGCGTCCAACAGCTTGAGCATCTCTCTACTGGTTGCTTGGCAACCTGTCTCTGGCGCTTGCTCATCTTCAAATAGTAACAGCATGCAACTACCCACAAAGCTATGAAGTAGTGAGCAGAGAGCTTTCACAGGCATCGGTCTTTGATTTTTAAGAGAATCTAAGCTATACTCTGTGAGACTTGAACATTTATTTTTTTCTAACCCAAACAGCTTTTCACAAAATGGGCTAAATTCAGATCAAGCTGTGTCTCAGGAGTTACCGGTCGGCCACAGGTCCCAGTGTCCCTGTGAAAGATGCCCAACCCCTCTCTCATTCTCACTCAGGAGTTCTGTATAAAGTCATCTGATAAGCCAATAAATGAAAAACAGAGGGAAAGAATCTTAAGTTGCCTTTTCGTAATAGCTCCGCCGCACACTCCTACTCGTAACGTCGCTCAGGTTACCGTGAGGCTGTGTTGCTCGGCGGCTTATATATACAGTCCTGCTAAGCTGTGAGATGGATTTGACATTTTACACGACAGCGTGCAGACAAAGCCATCTGCGTCCAAGGCTGCCGTCCCCGGGCGGACGCTGACCCCCGCCAGACTGTTATGAAAGAGATTGGGACTCAGATGGTTGTGTGTGTGTGTGCGTGTGTTTTTTATATGTATGAGCATCCACATATGTGTTGTGTTAAATCTTAAAAACCCTAATGTCTTCTCTGAATGTGTTTGTTTGAGCCTGTGCGTGCCTTTGTGTGGGAAAGCAACCCTGTTTTGTTTTTTTGGGTTTTTTTTTTTATAGCAGGGGAGTTACCTCAGGCTGTTTCTCTGTTTCAATTTTCCATTTTCAGACACATTGTGAAGGCCCTTTTCTGTCAGGATGAAGCGTCAATCGAGACCCGACAGCGCTGCAGGTTATCTCAGAATGCGCGTCATGTAACATACGACAAGCTGTGGCACGTTAAAAGCCTATTTTAGAGTTTTTCTTTTTTTTTTTTTTTTCAGGATTTCCCAACCGAGTAGTTAGAGATAATCAGAAGCAGAGGGGGAATCATGAACTTTCATAAATGGGTGGAAATTGAATGAGGAGGCATTCAAAGAATGCCTGGCTGCTGAAGTGTTTAAAAGCCAAATACATGAAAGATAACTGACTTTAAGCTGAGTAGATAGACACACAATATTCTAAAGAACTATTCGGATGTTGTTTTAACCCACTAATCCAAACCACTTTTCATAACTTTTTTATATTCCCTACTTTCTTTCGAGCCTCATCCACACACATCTTAACTCTTTGGTTACTGTGTATTATCCAGTCTTTGTCCACCACCTCCACTTTGCTCTCCACAGCTCCTTCTGCCCTGTTGATTTATTTTTTAACCTGTCCCCTTTCCCTTTCCATTTCCCAGATGCAATGTCCAGGATTACATTTGGCACAAGGGTGCCCGCTGCGAGTCGGTGGTGACGGAGTTCCAGGTGATGTGTCTGGCCGTGGGCGCCTCGGCTCTGGTGGTCCTGCTGCTCTTCATGATCGTCGTCTGCTTTGCCAAGAAGCTCCATGTGCTCAAAACAGAGAACAAGAAGTTGCGCAAGCGCAGGTGAGGCTCTATTCCAAATCCGAGCAGCGAGACACGAAAAAGGAAGGAATGCTTTAGTATATTTGGAAGGAATATGATCTGCCGTAAATGATATTAAAAGTTTGATATAACTCATTTTTACAGCTGAAAGCACCCTGTCACCTTTGGTTAGCATCACTGTTATTAAAACATGATTCAACATTTAGCTGAATAAAAGGGTCATAAACACACCTGCAGTCATCTGCTGGAAAGCAGCTGATCTCTCTGTTACTCAACTCTTCTCTTTCATTGAACGTATGCCTGATTCTACCACCAGGTAATATTCAAGTATTTGGTGATTATTGTGATGAAAGTAGAATTGCCGACCAATTGAAGCTTTTTTCAAATGTCTGAATTTCACCGTGGAGACGGAAACATTTCGAGGATTGATGGAAACGCAGTAAAGCAGGGGGGGGGGGGGGGGGGGGCGTAAACGGCGTGCGTCCTCCACAGGAGCAGACAAAGACGAGCCAGGAGGCGCCATTGTCGAGCCGTGAATGGTGGAATTATTTTTCACAACGGCGACCGATCAAAGCCATATTTCTATGGAAAAAGGACTCCGAGTGATTGCGGTAATGAGTCAGTGCCTGACTCAAAAGACAAATGTTTGAACCGGCTGGATCAGAGTTACTAAAGGTGGTTACCTAATGTTCCAGCGGACTAAACCATTAGTACACTCTAACGCTGAACACATGAGCCAAATTCATCACACAGATGCCCGTAGGAGCATTTGCTGTAACTCTGCACTCTAAATCTTGGACCTCAGTTTGTTCCTCCTGCTCTGTTGTTACATAAATGCAGCTACAAGCTTCTGAGATTCCCTTCCAAATGCACAGCTGTTTTTAAAATAGGGCCACTATTTCCTATCTTAAAGCAAACATTCTGTCTGAAACAGCGCACCTCTTCTTGCTCTGTGCTTTAAATATTAAAGTGTCTGTTCCCAGCCAGCTGTATAAGAGACGATATTTCATTTTTGGTTTTTTTTGTTTTGTTTCCATGTGGTCAGACATAACTGTTAGGATTCTGTAAGCTCCCGTAAAACAGTGGGAAGTGTGTCAGATTACTTGTGTCAAAGTTTGACTTATGTCAAACTTATGTCTTTATGTCAAAGACTACATCTTTAATCTAGTAAGAAATATGTGCTGTGTACAGATAAGAAAAATTGAAGAAAAAAGATTGGATCTCCGAACAGCACATTCATCACAACCCACTTTAAATGTTCTTTAATCATTAAATACATTTGTACAAAAAATGGTGCTCACTCTGTGTGGACTTGAGGTAGAAGTGCAAAACGATGGCCTAATACCTCCCCGAGACCCCTCATGTTGTCTCTCCCCCTTAAGTTGTGATTTAGCTGTACTTTATGATGAATGGCAGTGACTAACTGGCAGCAGTTAGAGTCCAGACAGATAATAAAGCCTGTGAGACAGATGAAGAGGGGGATGGGCGGAAAAGAGGCAGACAAGGACAGTCTGAGGGAGATGAGGAGGAGGAGAAGCAGCCGAGGAGGAGAAGATGAGGTTGGAGTGGGAAAGCTGGTGATGAGCAAAAGTTAAATACCTGATGAGAAGAAGACACTCGGGAGGCGTTTGTGGGTTTGCATGCAAACAACAAATCCTGATGATGTATATAACCTGTTGCCTTACTAACAAGAAGTCAGATGTTAAATCTTCAATTTGAAGCTTCAAAATATTCATGAAGCTGGCTGCAAATAAACTGTAGGACAATCTGACTGTGAGGTTATCATACAGTATGTGTAGGAATGTTTACTTCGTCTATAGCCCAAATAAAAAGAAATAAGAACTATTGCATTAGATTACATTTTAGATGTAAATGAAACTGTGTGAAATGAATAACTGCTTAAATACCAATCACCAAAAGTACTGTATGTCTTTACGAGATGTTTGTTTTCATAAGTTGGATACTATTAAGCACAAATGTTCACTGCAGCACCATAAAAACACTATAAAATACTGTTATGGATATGGAGTCCTCGTTTGTTCAAAGTTAAACTTCTGAAGAGGGAAAAAGTTACAGAAGTTGTGTGAATTTATCTATTAATGGAACATCATATAAATGTGAAATGTTAATAAATCCTTCCTCAAGTTGATTTGTTAACTTGAAAGTTTGGGTATCTTGTGGCAACAAGAGAGGTCTTTTTTTATTTGACTGATTTCCACTAATCATGCTAAAAGATTAAATGGCCAGAAATAAAAATAATAAAAGAGTGCTTACAGTGTTATGTCAGAAAATAAATATTCATACCCTTGTGACTTTAGACCATTTCCCGGACCCTTAAAAACACAGTTTCTTGTGTAAAACTCAGTACATGGAGAGAAAAGGTGCTGATGGAATGGAAAGTGAAGGAGAAAAATAGAAGGGGCTGACAGATTGAAAGGCTGAATTGAAAAATAAAAAGGGAGGGAGTTTGGGTGGTTTCAGCAGCGCTTTGCCGGTCGCCATGTTTTCGTGACCGTCTCCCTGGCAACAGAGCCGCTGAAGGATGAGCGGGCGGCCGGGCGATGGAGCACCACGGATGCAAATGTGCACCAAAGATACTGAATCCTCATCAGCGGCTCCCACGCTGCAGGATTTATTTTTAGCCCCAGGGGGGGGGGGGGGTTAACATGCTAGTCATGGTGGAGGAGATTAAGGATGAAGACGATGATGGTGGGGAGAAAAAAGTGGCGCAGTGGGTTGCAGTTGCTGGCTAGCAGTAATTTTAAAAAAAAAAGAGGAGAAAAGGGTGATGTCATCGCTACTCTGAATCCAGCTGAAAGTAGGGCAGTCTGAACAGGAGGAGGGGAGGGAGCGAGAAACAGGCAGCGTGTGTGTGTGTTTGTGTGTGTGTGGGGGGGGGGGGGGGTTGACCTACATACAGCTGTGCGACCTGAGGGGTGTGAGCAGCAGGGTGCAGCATGAAAGAGACAACACTGCCTCATCAAGTGGTCGGCTTGGAAAAAAAAAAAAAAATCAATAAGGATAGCGAAGGAGGAAGGAGAAGAGGAGGAAGTGGAAGACGGCAGATTAAAGGAGCAAAAAAAAAAGGAGGTCAGGACGGAACAGAGGATCTGGGAAGGAGAAGGAGAGACTGTTTTCAGGAGGGGAAGAAAGAGAAAGTGAAAGGGGGACGGTTACAGCGGGAAAGAACTCAGCAAAACATGACACCCACTCCCCCCATCTGCTGCGGGAGAGCTTTTTCTGAGTCTGCAGTGGAGATCAGAAAAGACTCTGATCAAAGATGGAGAGCGGGAGCGATGCAGGGATGCGGGGTCAGATCTCTGAGAGCGAAAACGAGTCAAATTAGAGATGTTCGGCCCCCCGTCCAGATGAATCTTCAAACTGAGCTGAGTGTGCTGTCTCTGGCTGAGGAAGTGTGGGCAGGGAGCTCATTGTTCTCTGTTACTGCTTCAAGCTGACAGGTTTCAGAATGAGACGTTTTTCTTGACTGGAAATACAATGGTTATTGCTTAACTGACAGTTTCCTTCCTGTTTACTGTAACCCTTTGTTTTCTGATAGCTGCCACTATCATGAGACTTAGAGAGAACATTAAACTTCCATTGGTCCGTCAGTAGAGTTTGTTTGTAAATGCTGATAGTTCTGTGGATTTTTTCATTTATTCATAGCTGTTGCAGTTGTTTTAAATAGCAGTGTGTTTGGTAGATGGTTCACACCAGAGTGCAGCATAGGGACTGGAAACCCACATGTTCCTGATGCAAATTTTACAGAAGTAGGCGGTAAAGTTCAGGCCTGTGAGCGGATGTAAGGAAACAGCCCTTCCTTAGGGCGGTTATCAACTTTCCTCTCGAGTTTCAGAAATTAAGACCGATTTACATATGTTTTCTAGGACATAATCCACTATTTCCCACAACAGCAAACATTGAGAGCCTTATTTAAGATTTAGACTGACAGGTGTTGCTGTATAGCCTGCAGAAGTTATGGTAAAATGAAAGACGTATAGCAAGAAGAAAAATTACTTTAGTTGGAAAACAAAAAAAAAGCAACCCAGTCTCCAATACATAGCTTAAGAAAAGTGTTTTAGCACTGGCCGCCAACACATAGTTTCTAACTTTTACACGAACAGTAATATAGTTGTGGCATAATTAAATTTTCGCCTCTCTCAGTCTGCACCACATGCTATTTCTTTATGAACTGAAAAGTAGACGGGGTTCAGATTTGGTACCAAATATGGTTTAAAACATGGAACAAGTTTGTTTGTGTTACTTTGACCAAAATCAAGACTCAAAATAAAGTTAATCGCACAGTCAAAGTAATAAATCCTGCATTCATTATAGTATGCAGTTCCATAATGATAGTTCTAAACTATAGAGTTATATCTATAAAGCAACATGTTTCTGAGATAAGGCCAGAAAAAATTGGGAAATTAATACAGGCTTACTCACACAAGAAACACAATACAGAACTCAGATAATTGGTACATGTTGTACAGCTCCACTGGTTTATTTGGCACAGTTACATTAAAGAATCGGACAGCCCCCTTGCAAAGATTATGTGTCTGCGGCTCTAAAACAGCACACTGTTTCTTTGTTTGCTCCCACAGACAAGAGTCATTATCCCAGCAGCCTCTGTACAGCTTAAATGAAGACCACTTCTGTGGGTCTAATGCAGCTAAAACATGAGATGTTTTTCCCCACACTTCAGGTAGCTAAAACTTACTTTTGTCACAACTTGATACCTGGATATCTAAAGCAGGATCAAAATGTAATTTTAATAAATTAGCTGATGATTAGCTTTTGTTGCAAGATAGATCAAGACCTCTTTAACTGTATTTATGATAGAGGATTTGAAATGATGAGAGGAAACACTAAGACAGCTGAGAGTCTAAGGATAATCTGAGCTTTACGATTCTCAGAGTGAGGTTTGACAGCCATTTCATACGAGACAAGGAAGCTTTTTCAGATATAGGGAAGGGACTTAATCACTTTCCCTTTTTTACAAAGGTACTGCCTCATTTTGGATCGGAGACACACATATCTTTGCTTTGAGAAGTCAAAGAGGAAGGAGGAAAAATTTCAAAGAGTTCAGTCTGACGTAGTCAGCGTAAAACTCCCAGAGTTTGTTTTTCAGCAAGAAGAGATGAAAGAAAAATCTGTATGTCTGTCTCGGTAGTTGGGCATCTTCTCTGGATACAGTCTTCCTAATTAGACAATTAACAGACAATTAGACAATGAGTTGCAGAGATGTTGGAGCTGAAATGATACTTTATGTATCCGTCCACAATTGGCCGGCAGGTTTGGGGAAATTAATGGATCAATGAAAGCGTTTCAAAATAACTCAATGTACCTGTTTCCAAAGGGACTCCAAAACCTCTCCTACATGCTTCATGCCTTTTTTTTCACAGATTACTTCACATATAAGTTCAGTAAAACACGATATGCTCAGAACTTACAGGATTGAGGGCATGCTTAGTCACCAATGGGTGATAGAGTGACACGGTGCTTTCATAAGAGGCAGTTTGATTGATCATTGCATATACTTGTGCATTAAACCGATTAGACTGGTTCCACTACTTTAGGAAATGGTGTCCAATGTTAATGGAGATTATAGAAGTATTGAAAGCTTTGGTTTGCAACTTGACTAAAACTGGACTGATACTGAGACCATCAACAAAAATACAGAGCACAAAAGTAGGGGAGAACATATTTTGGATTTCCAAAATTAAGTTTGATTCGAGCTATTAAGCTTTTTTTTTGTCACTTCTACATTTTTTTGCTGTGGACCAATGCATCGTGTTATTTGTGAGCCATTTTGTAGCCATTTGTGTGTATAAAAAACATTTTATTGTTAATGAGTTGCATCACAGAAAAAGATTGTCTGTTTTGTTTTAAAGTCACAGTCTTGCTGTCTGAGTAACGCTGCTCTCTTGCTTTTTTTCCCATCCTCTTGTTTTTGCTCTCAAAACCCCTTCCCTCTACCTATTCCTTAACAATGTCACATTCTCCTAAACAAATTGTATCTCTCTTTTCTTGTTTCACTTCCTTTGTGCCTTTGATCACATTTTCCTCCATCATCTTTTTTCCCCATCATCACTTCATCTTCTTTCTTTTCCATCTGGAACCACTTGTTACTTTCTTTACTCCTTTTCGCTCCTTTGCCCCTTCTCCTTGTGAATTATCGTGCTTTCTGGCCTCACGTTTTTTGTTGTTTCTCCTAAATGTTTCTTTTTTTAAACTTTTCATTGCCTCTCTCGCTGCTTTTGTCACAAATCTCTAAACTTTACTTTAATTTATTTTTACTTTCCCCTCTTTTCTCCACCCTCTCTCCTCCCCTCCTCCATCACCTGATGCCCAGCAGTAAGTACCGGCCTACATCGGAGCAGCACAATGATAATTTCTCGCTGTCCACCATCGCTGAGGGCTCCCACCCAAATGTAAGGAAACTGTGCGACACCCCTCCTAACGTCCCTCATGCCCGTGCATTGGCTTACTATGATAACATTATCTGTCAGGTAACGTGGTTCTCGCCTCTCTCTCATCCCTTTTTCTGCATCTCCCCTACAAATCCTGCCCGGGCCCCTTGACTCCCCTCCAAATGCATGGGCATGAGTATTCTCTGATACTTTGAGGTGTGAAACTCTAAAAGAGGGGGATGGTCGGGGTCAAAGTGCGAGGATGGATGGTGGGAGTTTTTTCAAATGGAGCAAATAATCCAAATCAAAGGGGATGACTTTACAAATCCTCTTTTGTGTAGGTTTTTTTAATTTTATTTCATTCTTTATTGGCATAAGCAGAAAATATATATTTTTTAAATGACTCAAAAATTAGTTAAAAACACTTTGAAAAAGCAAACTTTGAGCTTACACTCATAAAGCTTGCTTGGTCACATTTCAAGCCTTTAACTAATGTTAAATCACAAAACACTAATTTGGTACAATGATATAAATGCAACTATGTTACCACTAAAATGTGTCAATTCTAAAATTTTCCATCTACAAAAACTAAAATATCTAATTAAGATTTGAATCAGCAGTTTACCTTTGAAATCTGAAATGGAGGCGGGAGATGAGTAGAAACACTGTGGAGCTTCACTATTGTGCACCCACTGGTGTGTGGAAGCCCGCATCTGCAGTTTATCAGAGAAACAGGTAACTCATTAACCAAACCGACGTCAGATTACATAGAATATGATGCCGGTGCAAGTCACAAAGTAAATTGTATGCGTTAAGCTACAAATATATTAAATTAGAAGTTCACTCTCAAGAGATTATTCATGGCTTGTAAACAAGGAAGACCTGAGACCTTGCAGCTTACAGCCATGGCAACAGTGGCCGTTAACCCTTTTAGTTTCACTGTGTTAATTGAATTAGTGTCCTGCTTTATTGGATATTGATCTCATTTTAAAGTGGCAGCGCAAAAACCTTTAAATGCGATTATATGCAAGCTTTTATGAAACCATTGAAGACATATCCTGGCCTTACTCTGCCTGAGTAACATCCACTAGGCCTAAAACGACCGTGGGTGACTGAAGGCGCAAATCCCAGCGGAGTTGGAGGCGAAAGAAACTGAACTGTCAAACTGCCCCTGGCTCCAGCCTGGCCATTTTGAGATAAAACTCCTCGCCATGGCCCCTCCTCATCCTCTTTTCTGACCTGCTCTCTCTGATCACCTCATGCATCGGTATGTCATGGCATGCCTGCTCTGTCACTGACACGCGCTGCTAAGCGGCCGTGTCAGCCATCACAGCTCTGCTTTGCTGTTTGTTTATGGTTTTTCTACTTTTTAACAGAAGGGTTCGCCTGACTTGTTTATCCTGAAAGTGGGTGGGTGGGCAAGGGACTTGTCAAAATATATTTCTCTCAATTTCTGTGATGTCACAAACAGGTAAGCCAACAGAAATATTTGTGACACACGGTGGTGGTTATCAGGATAAACATCTGCGATGCAACTTCTTTCTATTGCAGGTGGCAGTAGAGAGATGACAGTAGACTAACTAACTAAAGCATGGGTAGCTCATAGCTAACGCTTGTTGTAGCAGCATGGGTAGTCGTAGTGCTACAACTGAGACTAATTTTGTTTTTTCGGGTTGAAATGAAGTCATTTGGAGAAAAAAAATGTGGTACCACCCTCTAACAACTCCATCAGTAGTTTTCTTTAACCTTTCAAGCAACAGGATGAAGTAACTGAACTTGTGGGTCTAATTTCTTCAGCGGTTTAATGTTACAAGAAGCTTCCCCAGGGGCAAACGTGTCTCATCCGTTCACTATAATCATTATTCAATGGCATTTTCGTCACCCTGACATACTTTAAATCCCACGACACATGACAAAAATCCATCATCACTTCCTAACATAATCTCAAAAATGTCAATCTCCTAATTTAACACAATTTACACACCGAACCCTAAAAACTCCTCTGGTTTTCTGGATTGAATGGTATTTGTGTATTCATTTATCTGATACAAGGTATTGTGTGTAGACATTTTTGAAGGCCAATAATGTTATTGTCAGTTTAGATTTCCCAGTTTTTTTCTAATGCTAATGTTTAAAGGTATAATTGAATAAACTTGACAGGAGGTGTGAACTAAGTTCTGGATCCGTAAATTCAGACATGATGTAAAAAAAACTAAAACAGAAACAGAGCAAACATGTTATTAATTCTAGGTGTGAAACCATTTGACTGATTTGAACACAAGGCAAACATTACAGAAATACTATTCAACCCAGATTTATTTACAATTTTCTTCCTTAAACCAACTCATCTGTGCGTTCAGATCGCTCCGAGCCAGAAACCAACTTTCCCTAAATAACCCCAAAAAAGACTTTCCAATAAAGCAAACTCCCCTCTGAACTAACGGCCCTGTGTTTGTCCCTTCGTGGTAGAGAACCTCACCGGTAATGCCCAAACCTGTGTGTGTTATGGGGATGTAGACTAACAGTCAGGAAGCACCAGAGAGTCTGTGTTTGACGAGCCTGTAGCCAGCTGGGAATATCAGCTCACATGTGAGAGGAAGTCAAGTTACTCCCACTATCGGTCTCTGTCTCCAGTCCTCCATCTTTCTCTGTCTATTTTATTCCTGTCTCTTCCTGCCTCTTCTAGTCTCAATCTCTCGCTCCTCTTCTGCTCTTCCTTTGTTTTGTACTCTTCGCGCTACTTTATTTTCTGTTCATTTCTCTCTGTCTCACTCTGAGGATGCTTTGTATGGTTTTTGAGGAGTATAACCCTTTGCCCCATCCCCCTCCCCCTCAGAAAACCATGAGCAGATACACCTGGGAGTGTAAGACCAAAGAGGAGTCCGACTGTGAGGTAAGACCAAATTCCAAATGTCAGACAGTCCAAGATCCCCTCTCACCCCCCCCCCCCCCAAACAGCTCTTTCATTGTTACTGTGGCCCTGTCAGTCTCTCCTCTCAACTATCAGTGGATCAATCCAAGCCCCCCTCCCAGAAGACGTAAAATGTCCAGAAGTCATGACTCGCTGAGGCTTGATAGATGTAGAGGGAAATTTTGTTTCAATTAAATCTGTACACACTGATAACGTTTTTAGCCACATTCCAGGATGAATGAGAATATGATTTCCTTTTTAGTTGTGAGAATCTAGAAAAGCTCAATAGGATCATTTTCAAGATTTAGAAGATAAAATAGCACACTGCATAGTATGCTGTGTTGAAGAAGAGGTCCTCAGCCATTTTTTTCAAACCTATTATATTATGAACGTAGAATATTACATTTCAAGGATATCAATTGAAAACATATCATTTCTGATACATTTGTTTAAAAGACTGTGTTCAAAGAAGTCATTATTAATGACTAAACTACAGCTCAGGTATATATATATATTTTTATCTAAATGTCACTAGAACTGACATTTCACAGTCTATGCCTATCGATTTGAGGGCTTTAGTCGTTCAGTTCATGAAGTAATGACAGAAATCATACTTACTACAACTTTCAAAATCTGAAAACGCCAGTCATTGACATCACTGTCTTTGAGTCCTGTTGGTTACTTGGCCCACAGGTGCTTTTAATTGTGACTGATTGTGTCATTTTCAAACCAATTAACCATCTTATGAAAAAGATGGAAATTCATTATATCAGCAGCAGATGAAAAAACAGATTCAGTTCAAATGTGTTTCTCAAACGCAACCTACCTAGTACCCTCAAATAGAAAACACAGTAATCTATCATGTGAACTTCCACAGTGGTTAATGTTACCAAAAATGAGTGAAATTGCCCTTTAACACGTATCACAGCCAAAGGATCCGGTGCAAAGAAACGGAACTGTATCAGAAACCGATTGAAAAACAGATTGAGTAGGGAGGGAGCTCTTGACCTTGTCACACATCCAGGCTGCCTATGTATCAAACACACTCACACACACACACTCACACACACACACACACACACACATGCTTTAACGCTGGAAGAAAAGCATTCAGAAAAAAGGATAATTTACTGCAATCATAAACCATATATGAACAAGATTAAAAAGCTGACATCTATCAATCTTCAGTGCACAGCGACACAAACAGCAAGTGTGTTGTCCCCCGCAGTAACTCAACACTTTGTGCTTCGTTCCCGGTGGGAGATTGAACCCGCTTGTCCTCGGTCTTCCCCCTCACAGTAATTCAGCCGAGTGCAGCCTCAAGCTGTCCTCTGCAGCAAACGGTGGAATGGGATTGTTTTCTGTCAATACTAAATAAATTCAAAGCAGAAAATGAAATGACCTGGCAGAGCTGGCTGTAATTTTTAAGAGGATTTCATTTCCATTGACTGAACTGGCTCTCAGTGACTTATCACGGCCGAGGTGACCTCAAGCCCAAACACGGTCGGCTTCGAGTGAAACCGAACGCTTCCAGAGACTAGACAGTCTCTTTCAAACGTATGTCATCATTTTCTTTCGATAGTTCAACTGACACAGTTTAACAGTTTTTTTTTAACCTCCGGATGAGAAACAAAAGAGAAATTAACTCAAAACTTAAAAAGAAAATTAGGGGAAAAGGTACCAAACTTCCCAAATTTCCCTTACCTAGAAAACTATGTAGGTATACTTCTGGCCTCACTTGCCATACATACAAGTTGTATTTAAGGAGAAGTAGAGAAATGAGACAGAAAAAAGACTAATTTCATGAATTGTTCTCATTAATTCTATTACGAGTGACACGGGCCAGCTCTCAGTGATGGGGGGTTGATAAATGGGACCCTAAAATATAGCAAACCTGGCAATAAATAGAACAGCCCAAGACACAAACAAAAAAAATCCATAAATAAGTGGCTGTGATGAGAAATATACACATACATGCACGTATCCATTCACCAGCACAAATATTTAAGTGTAAAGTGTGCCAGAGCATTAGCCGCTAATGCCAACACTGGACAAACATTGGGGTTAATCCGCATCAGTGAAAGAGCTAAACAGTAATACTCATCCAGATACAGCCAATACAAGCGCCATGATCTACACTCAGGACTGAAATCCTTTGCCAGAATAAAGATGAATAAGGATTTTTTATTTTTTATTTAATACCTCTGATATTGCTTGCAACCCTGAAGTTGCTGTTATAAAAAGTTTGACTTTTGGCAAATCAAAAATCTATTCAGATTGATTGCTGTGTAATGTAACATGCAGTGTCAAATCCAGATGTTGGTGCAGGTGCTGAGTGGAAATGGTGCAGCTACCACCATCATGGAGGTCATAATGAAAAACAGGCTGCAGACATTGGCCAAACTCGTATCAGTTGACTATTTGTGCGGAGGCTTCGGTGAAGGCAAGATGGCAGGAACCTCAAAGAGCATCAAGAAATATTGAACATGGATGGATGGATATTTTTATATTCTGAAAAAAATCCACGTAGACGTATATGATTAGAAAATCATCCTCACTTCCATCTAAAAGCATTATTTCTTGTCACTAAGCCACTAGTTTTTTCAGACCTAAGTATGTTGTTTATATGCTTGAATTTAGCAGTAGGAGAAAGCTCAATAAAAAAGTAAGTTGACCACTACTACTGCATTGTAACATTGAGGTAGAATGGTGGCAGAAATTGCATATGTTGTTGATTTATTACAGTTACATATCAAATGTTATGATAAATGCAGTTTTTTTCATAAGTTATTGCCCCAAATCTGCATTTTAGATTTGTAACGCCCCACACAAAATAAAAATAAAAAGACAACGCTGACACTACTCTCCTAAAATCTTTCCACAAAGAAAAATGAGTGCACTTGCAATTATCTGAATGAAGATATATGAAAATAAATAGTAGTATTTGAGAATTAGAAACAATTACAGTCAGTGATTCCACCTATAAAGGGTAACTGGAGATGAATTACTTTATACGCTTAATTCTGGAAGTCCCATTATTACCCACCACTAGACCAAAGGACATCAGGAACTTTCCATGTGCCTCCATCGTCATCATCATTATCATCATCATCAGATCCCTTTTTATATCTGTTTCCACACCCCAAAATGACTCCCACACAAAAGTCCTCGTGCCTCTGTGCTCCCACCCACTGCCCACATCCCTCCACCCATGCACAGCGTCGATAAAATCCAACAAACACAAACATTTTCCAGTTTCACGCTGACGGGAGGACAGAGGGCCCCTATCCCGTAACCATGGAAGTGACATACCCACACGTCCTGCCTGAAGTTACTATCTAGGCCAACAGCCATCGGGTAAATCCTCTCACTGCTCTTCCTCTCTAAAAGTGCCATTGACTTCGAATGCAAACATTCAATTAGGGAGTGTTTGCAAATGGCACAGGCCTCAGGGTCTGGAATCTGATGTGCGTGTGTGTGTGTGTGTGTGTGTGTGTGAATGAGTACATCTGCATCTCACCAAACTATGCTTGTGTGTACGTGTGTGTGTGTGTGTGTGTGTGCGTGCGTGAGCTCTTGATTGTGACAAAGAGGTGCAGACTGATGCCCCAGGATGCCGAGTCGATTGTGCCATGCAAAATTAATGGGGATAAGAAGCTGGAAAACAGAGTTAAAAGGGACAACGATCAATTTATTTCCTTCTGACCTTAACTAAATGGAGATTAATCAACTGAAACCTTTAAAATGCAATTTTATTTTTTCCTCCAGCGACTGCTTGGGTATGTATGACGGTGGTACGCACAGAAAGCCAGCCTTGGTTGAACGCTTTTTCCTCCTTTAATCTTGGGACAAAGAGAGGATGACGGAGACAGAAAGAGTTCTGCATGAGCGATCATTGCAGGCTATGGGGTGCATCGTTAGGGTCTTGCATGTGGATGTGCATGTGCTTCCTGGGTTGCCTGAGGGGGAGAAGGGAGGGGGGGGGGGGATTGTTGTCGCTCATGCAGCTCACCTCTGTCTCCTCACCCAAACGCGACATGCCAGCCGAGCATGGCGATTTTCTAACAGACCACCGATATATCTGCGGATTAAACCTGGTGCATTTTGATTTTCATGAATATTTGACTCCATTCTTGCTGTTTTTAAAGGATTGTGCAGATGTATTTCTGAAAGTTTCAATGAATTCACAAATCACCGCACATTTAACACATGTAGGGTACATTGTGCATCGACAAAAAAGGCTTTTCTCTAGCCTCCAATGATGCACATTAATTAAAATTTGAACAGTATGAAATTACGTGTGCAGATTCAATAAAAATGCAGGATTCTGCGATAGGCTTAAGCGTTATTTATGATGCATTTATTGTTTTTCACTGATTTCCATTCACTTCTGTCCCCCGAATCTTTAAGTTCGATTGCAAAACATATCACAGCAAATAAAAAAAATAAATCTTTTGCATATATTTTTCATTGCAGGCATTTCGAGTCATTACACCAGGACGAGAATCAGTGTTACACACAGCACCCGCAGTTAGAAAGCTTTATTTATTTTCTTATAAGCTGTGGCAGCCACTAGGTGCAGACTTAAATGTGTGCAGTTTTGAATGGAGGTCAGTTGCAGCCTTGCAATCTGTGAAGGGAGTATAAAAAATAAAAAAAAACCTTCACTGAATCAACAGCAGTGAAATGACATAAACACATTGGTATGATCCTTTAAATCACGGAGATGGAACATGAAAATCTGTTCAGAAACAGAACTCAATGGATTTGAGTCATTTTACCTAAAAAATAACGGATCATCTTTGCTTTTTTCAAACCTTCCAGCAGGGAAAAAAAATATGCTCAATTCTCCGAGAGATTAATAACATTCAGGAACAGATTGTTTAATTTTGTGTCTACTTCTTATGTCTGATAAATAGGGGTTGAAATAACAATAATCAGTGACTATGTAACTCATCAAAACCCCTAAAAGATAAACTTATAAGAGCATAAGATACAGCTCAAAAGTAAAATAAATCATTTAAAACAAAAGCTCTTATGGTTTATGAATGTTTTACTTCTTAATAACTCACAGTTCCACTTAAAACGAAGACTGCAGTGAGTTCGTTGGATGCCGGTATAAATAGTGCAGTTGTGTGGCTGTAACAATACAAAGAGCATGACTGAATTTTGCTCCATGAAGGCTTTAAAACATTCTAACCTTGGTGAGAATTATAAGTTGCTTGATCATTTCACCGTTATAGGCTGGATTTATCTCTTATTGGTTAAAGCAAAGATGAAACTTGTCCCAGCGGGAACTGACCCTAGTTTCAGTGCATAAAATAAAGACTTTTTGTTTTTTTTAGTTAGGACTATTGCAGCTGAGCGTGAGAATAACTGTGGACGTGGTTTTAATTGTGCTTTATACCTCCTACCCCCCTCTACCTCCAAACCTTCTTGGGTAGGATGATCCCAACTCCCAGAACAAGCTGGAGGACCCGGTGAAGGCCCCCCCCAAGGAGGATGACTCCCTCAACATCCACAACTCTCTGACCCCCAAACACGAGAACCACAAGGTCCTGGGCGAGGAGAACTCCTCGGAGGTAAACTCACTGCAGAACAACATGATGTGAAACGAAAAAAAAACAAAACAAACGCAAAACTACCCCCGGCAACCTGGCAACACAACACAGAGTGCGCCTAACCAACCAACCAGCCAGCCTCCAACCTACCAGCCAACCGACACAAACTGCAACCTTCTCCCGACACGGCAACACTGCCACAAGCAGCCCCGGGTTGCTGCAACAAAAAAAATGTGTACACCACCACCACAACTACCACCACCACCTCCGCCATCACTGCCCCAGCTTAAAGTAACTCCGCCCCCTTCCAGTTTCCCCTCCTTACATGCTACCCCGCCCTGTTTTGCAGCCCCGCCCCTTCCTCGTTGCTGTCACTAGACCTTTTTTCTTTCTTACTTTCACACAACAGACATGAAAAGCATACACATACTGTGAAAAGATGAAGACAAAATCACGCTTAAATGTATACACACACAGACACAGACACACACACAGACACACTTCCCATGTCCCTGCCTGCATTGGTGTATTTTGTAAAAAAAGAAAGAAATCATACAGAAGTTTAAAACATACATGAGACGTCATTGTAAAAAAAAAAAAAAGGAAAAAAAAGTAAAGCTACTGAGAGGTTTTGATGTTTGTCTGACTAATCCAGTGAGTATGTATAAATATTGGTAAAATTTTTTTGCTTGGATTGATTTAAAAGAAGCAACACCACGTGTCTTGGTTTTCATTGATGTGATTTCTAATCCTTTGATGTACTTGTTTTTTTGTTTTTTTTTGTACTTTTTTGGGACCTCGAACAGAGAATAAACCAACGAGATTCAGACAGTTGTTGAAATAAACCTTTTTAACATGACCTCTCTGGATCCTGTGTTTTCCTCTGTGTCGTCTCCCCTTTTTTCCCCCTGAACTCTGCGCTCTCTGCATGGCTTTGAATGCCGCTTCTTCAGCCCCTGTCATCCACGCACTTCCTTGCTCACACAAAAAACTCTGTCTAGGTGAGGTGCTTCTTGATCCCTTTGATACTACATCTACAGTTACTGTTACTGATTTTATTCAAGCCTAATAGGAAACACTTCTACATCCTTTCACAACTTTAACAGACGGCGATCATTGTGTGGTTAAAGTGTGTTTCAAACACAATATCCATGATGGGAGATTGAATGGAAATGGAAAATCTCTGAGAAGACTCATCATCCACAGACCAGTGTGAAAACACAGCTCAGAGCAGAGCCACTGAGTTTAAACCTACAGGTAGTTTAGCCAAAGCCTGCCTCATACATCTTAGTAACACCTTATGCTTTCATTTAGGTCCATGTTATCAAATTGCAATACAAAAAGACCCATGCCCCAAAAATAGTAGTGAAAAAAACAACGTTGAAAGACTTGGGCTTGGTTGTTTTGAATAAGACGTAGCGAAGTGAGATGCAGCTGACGATTGTTCCACTGTATCCACAGTAGCAGATGGTGTCGGCTCAGTTGTCATGGAGATTACTTTGGTGACAGCGAATTATGTTTTGTGCAGATAATCACCATGGACTCGCAAAAAAAAAAAGCTGGGTTTTCACATTTAAACACTGCACTTCTGCACTCGTTCTGTCTTATTTTGATTAAAGATTAAAGATCGATTAAAGATTTGTCAGGATCTGCATTAAATAATTAGTCCCCTAGATTCATGATCATGATAAAGAGTTTTAAAAAAAAAGAGTAAAAAAAAAAATTGCATCTTAACAATGTCATCATCCGAACAGGAAATATAACGTTAGTTGACTTTTTTTCTTCTTTTCTTCCCCACTCGAACATAAAGGAAATATATCTTGTGTGCCCACTCACAGCTGCAGCATACAGACATACAAACGTATGTGGGGGAGCCCTCATACTCTATTGAACTTTTTCTTTATTTCAGGAGGCTGAACGGCCACAATAGAGCCCACACATTAACACATTCATTTTCATGTTTCTACAAAGCATCTGTCAGCTTCCCATGCTCTTACACACACTTATTTGCAGGTTTTCAATAAGAGAAAGCATCTAGTCCCAGTAATTATGATAAAAGTCTCATGATTATTGATCTAAAGTCATTCAAGTCAATGTAATGACAAGGTTTGGTCGATTTCAACACAGCCACACTCAGTCTGATACAGTTTTCCTGTTTACAGATAGTCAGAAGTTGAAACCTTACTGTGTTTTATTTCCTAAGTGTCAAGACAAATACATGTGGCTTTCAAATAAAGAAGTAGAACTAATACACACACTGGTTCCCACAAACAAGCACAGTCTCCCAGAGCTTAGAAACAGGCATGAATGTGAGTCAGAAGAGGCCGCCGTGCCTGAGGCCTTTTGTCAGGCTTCTGCTTTGGACGGGCGCTACACAGCAGCATTGTGGTGGATCCTTCCCAGGGTAGAGGGCCGCTAATGGATGGAGGGGGGTGGGGGAAGGTTTGGGTGCCCTTCCCTTTTCTTCAGATAAATAAAAAGAAGGGCTAAGAGAGCATTTCAGCCCCTGGAAGCTGAAATAAAAGACTTTTTTTTTATCTATGGAGAATAGCAAACAGCAGTAGGCAGGCTACAAAAACAGCAACAACAGCGATTATCACTCTCTTTATTCCCGTCTGCCTGTTACACACACACACATTGGATGAAGCTGGCACAGAACTGCACATGCTGAAACACACACACACGCTGTCTAAAGGAGGCTCCTCCGAATAGAAATGAGAAGTACCAGCAGACACCATAGCAACAAGTGGGCATTGCATTACCGGCGTGGAGAAAAGAAGCAGGCTGGGGGAGGTGTTGCTGTCTTTCTGAGAGCTACACCCTCAAAGACTGAGGAGTAAATCTACTTTCAATACACCGCGGACCCGGAAAGCAGTTCAATTGAGCCGCCAACAGTTTTTTTTTAATCACTGACATTAAACATCCATTGCTTTAATGTCTCCTCACTCCTGGAACCAGCCGTAAAATAAACCTTGTTCAATCAGTTGCTCTGTAAAATGAAATCGTGGCCTAGGAAAATCATTTTAAAAGCTGATGGATATCTAATGGATAGGAGGTCAGCTTGCTGCTTTTCCTCTCTAAGAATTAGAACTCCTCATCATCATCCCTGTGTGAATATCGGCAACAGAGGCTTAGAACATGTGAGGGAGATGGTTTTTAAATCAGACGCTCGGGTATCGCGGTCTTAACAGCTGATCCCTGTCAGCCAAAGGAGAAAAGGTCCATATTTATGAGCACATTATCACCACGTGTGTTTTCCACGTCCGATAAGCTTTTGAGCGCTTTTCCGACAAACCATCCCTTTGCTCTCGTCTCCGCTCTGTTTTATCTGCGGCCGGCAGATCTTTTCAGAAAGACGCGGGGCGCCATGGAAACCCAGTCCGAGGCTTCACTTTGACACCTCAGCTCGGTGCCTTCACTCGTGCACAAACACCGTCCCGTCAAAAGACTCTCACAGGGCTTTACTGTCATCTAGTAATAAACCGTAGACTATTACGGCATTAAAACTGCTCTCAACTCCACTTTAGGCTCAACGTGGCACTGTGCGACCTCTGCAGACCACACCCTAATCCGGCTTTCCCTCCGTCCCTATAGCCCAGCTGTCAGCGTGCACGTGGCACGAGCACACGCATTGGCCTCCATCACAAGTCTTTGACACCAATTTCAGTTCAGTTCATGATCCTCTGCCACCCAATCAGGGGATGTCCTATTCCTGATGTCAACAGTTTTTAATAGTCAGAAATGTAATTACTGTGCCCAATTCAACACAAAATCATTTTCATCACCGTTAATGATCAAATATCAGCCATTTTTAACAGAAATGTCTGCACTGAGTTGATGTGTTTCATTTCCTTTCATCAGATATCAGACATCAAACCACATTATGATTTATAAGACAAGTCCGGCTTATGCGATGACCCTCTGTGTGGACCTTTGCCGTCGCCATCCTGTGGTTTAACCCATCAGCGTCATATATGAAATGAGTATAAGCAGAACTGCAGAAAACAACAGCACACCGGTTGTAGCACTAGCCCATGGGCATCCATCACCATGATAACATTATCATTAAATTGACCCCTTTTTTCCACAAACATTTTAAAATATGAACCAATGTCCAATAAAAGGGTATCACTTTGTCATTTCAAATTATACTATTTTTTCCGATTAGTCTCACGCAAACATGTTTGGGGATGTCCATAGAGCAATTTTAGATTTGCTTATTCTGCAAACTTAGATGCAATTTCATTTTTCATCAGCTGTCAACTGCCACAAGCTGAGAAGATAAAAACTCACTAATTACAATATTTTTGGACCATATTTTGCTTTGCACATTTCAGTAATTTAACTTGCTAACGGCCATTTTTTTCCTGAAAGACAGCATAAATACTCAGATCGTGTTAAAAGCACAGCTCCAAGCTTTGATCAAATCTCGATCACCTTGAGACCCTTTTTGACCTATTTTGATTTGAAAAATAGCTCTCTTTAAAAGGCAATAAAAAAGAAGAAAAAAAACAGAGGAATGACGGGAGAACAATTACTAAAGTACAACAGCCTCAGACCTACACAGTAACCTCAGTAGATGTAGGTGTTCGCTTCCATTTTCATTTCAAATTAAATGCAGATTACATCCATTGAAAATGGACGTTCAAAGGGAAAAAGCAATATGAAGGTGCAAAGAGTCTAAAGGGGGGGGGGTGAAAAAAAGAAAGGGACGACACGATGAAAGCGTGTGAAGATTGCATTTTTTTTTTCTGCTGTTCCGAGTCAAGCCAGATGGGACCGGGGATTCATCAGCGGCCGGCGATTGGCTGACGGAGTGGTGGAATGATGGTGTTAGGAGGCTGAAGAGGCCGCTGTGATTGGCTGGCACACACAAGTGGCGGCCCGTGAAGGAGGCATGCACACTCAAACACACAAAGTCATGCATGTATGCATATAAATCACGCTCACGCCGAGCCGTACAAAAAAAAATGAACCAGACTAGATTAACACGTCGTTCAGGGGTGCAGAGTGGGGACACAGCAGAGTTTTTTTTTTTATATTTACGTGCAAGGTTCAGACTGCCAGAAAGCTGCCAGTAAAAGCAGAGACTGAAACAGAAAGGAACGGCAAAAAAAAGAAGCTTCAGTGAAAGGCTGGAGAGTGTTTCCTACTCTCCAACCGGCCCCCCACTCCCTCCCCTGTAATTCCAAATGAATCTGTCTGGCACCGTCTCTTTTACTAATGAGGCTCTGAGGAACGCTGCCGATCAGAACGGGACCCTCTGGCTTCTCTTCTGATTTAAAACTTGCCACACGTTGCCGGTCCAAAGCAGGGTGGCTTCCCCAGTCGTCCGGTCTTTGTTCTGCCTCCATTATTACATTCTACGATCATCTGTCTTTCGCAAACTTTTCATGGAATCGCTCGCTTTCCCCTAATGGTGACCTTTGAACTGCGATAGGATATTGTTGTCGGTCAGGTGGTCCTACAGAGAAGCCCCTCCTCATGAGACGGCACATCAGCTCATAGATTTACAGCAAAGACATTAGAATGGTTGTACTGATTTTCCACCAAATCGTTATTGTGTATAGTTTTTTTGTTTTTTTTCTGAGAAATTGTCTGAACCCATCAATGATATTGTCATCAGTTTGTGTTTCAGGCTGACACGTCTATGGGAGAGTGGGAGAATGTGAATATAAACTTTACATTTGGTCAGATATTGACACTTTCTACAATTCGCAGCCCTTTTAAAGCCGAATTCCCATGATGCACTGATTTCTTCCAGGGATGTGACTTTGCCTTCTTTCAGAATTGGTTTTACTGGTTGCACCAGAGAATCTGTCTCCTTTAAAATTCTTATCAGTAACATGAGTCTGGACAGGCACAGCTGTAAAGAGAGAGGAACACAACCATTTGGCAGTCTTTCCGGTTTGGAAATTTGTTTATTGACAACTTAATCCACAGTGACTGTTTTCTCCCAACAAGGTGAATAATTGATGTAGCATTAAGCAAATTCATCTAATTTTTAATCAGTACACTTCAATACAAATCAACAATGGTCACAGAAACAAAATGAGGATGTTTCCTGGGAGATGTTTCAATTAATGGTGTGCGCTGTGGGTCTGAGAGCAGTATATAATAAACGGGGAAAAGAGGTAGAGTTAAGGATGGCCGGTTCTCCCAGATATTGTTCTTCCTCTGGATTATTTTCCATAAATCATGTCCATTAATGTGTTCCAGTCGCTGTGGTTGTGCACTGACTTTTGAGTAACAAGCCCTTTTTTCCAACACTGTAAGGTGACCATCGACTTGGAGCTCCACCTCAACAAGAAGATCAAGTTCAGGCCCTCCGGAGAGCCTCCCGCAAAATACGACATCTATCTCTACAGGATGCCTCAGACCAAACCCAGAGTGCTCAACGGGCCGAAAGCCAAACCCGTCAACGGCCCCAGCAGAGCCAAAAGGCGAGTGTTGAGGTGGGCGGACGACTTCTACCCGCCCTCCCCGCCTTGCTCCGTCTGCAGCCCGGTCAGCACCCGCTCTCTGCCGGCCTCAGTGGTCAGCGAGCAGCAGCCGGCCAAACGTCTGACGCTCAGCCCGCACCACCTCTGACCGACCGAGACACTAAATGCGCCGCGGTTTCTCGCAGGGAGACGAGCGGATATAGGCTCCCGTTCAGTTTCAGGACAATTCTGACTTCCTCTGGCAGCTGGTTCACACACAGAGACCAAACACGTTTAGTCCGTAGCACTGAGAGGTTTTAAAGCTGCAGGTTTTTGTGAACAAAGACTGTACTGTATGTTTTGTGATTTATAAAAATACATCAACTTTTTTCTACTCTTGTGAGTTACCTTGTGCCGGTTGACGCAAACGTTGAGATCAAGATGATATCTAAGAAGAAAAGCACTTTCCTGATATTTCACATTTGGTTGGATTTTTCTAAAGTGTTTCATTTCTTAACTAATCTGAAAAAATGATCTACTGATTGTTGTCATTGCTGTGTACATGCAGGCCAACTTGTTGGATTTGTTTTTTAAGCAAAATATGTAAATGGAAGAAGCTTAATTTAAACCAGTAAAGAGTTTGAATTCACGCCATTAGCTTTGGCAACTCCTATTTTCAGGAGTTACCAGATGTTGTGTGGTACTTTGTTGATTTTGGTCTTCGGCGTGATGCTGCTTACTGTCACTCGTCTTTGTTAAATACCTTTGACAGAGTCGGCACATGTTCTTTTTTTAACATTGTCAAGCACATAAATAAACGGAAACCCCCCTGAGGTCAGAACAGATGGGATTGTGTCTGATTGCAGAATCCCTTCCATCTTATTTAAGTCTTTCGCACCATCAGATCTTCTTTACATGCTTCACAGTGGGAGTCACATACGTGGATGCCTTCTGTTCTCTTTTTCTGCATTTCTCAAAGACTGAAATAGGCCTACGTAGACCAACAGTACCTTAGAGTATGGGCAAAAGTATGTATGCCAGTCAGTAAAACACAATATGTCTAGTTTTATGAGGGAATGCATGTACAGATGTAATTGTATTTGAATGACTCGCACACACTTATATTAAGGAATCTAAATATTTGATTTCCATCTCTTTATGTATTTTTTAAAGTGGATTTTCAATCCATTTCTGTGTTTTTCTACGTCAAAAATAGTCAAACGGTAAATGAAAATAAATGCTATTTTCTACTAAATATAGTTTCAAACTTGGAAAACCTTAAGAGGGTTAAAAATCTGCATTTCCTTTTACTTGTGACTCTGTGCCAACAGTTATACCAGAACTAGAAGGCAGTTCGCCAAATGACGAGTGAATAGAAGCTAATTGGATTGTTCTGCTTTCCACATCCCATGTAACAGCATCGGTGCTCTGAACTCATTCATGTTTGACTCAGCAGGGTAAAGAATTATGCTGACTGCACTTGTGACCATAGCTGTAACAAATTAGTTGCACTTTTGGTGTCTTTTTCTTTCCCCTTCCTGTGAATGATCAATTGTGGTGCCTATTTTCAAATAGCTGGTTTTGTAATTGCTTATAATTTAAGGAACATATGGAAAATGACAACAAAAAAATACTAAATATATGCCGTTACGCCTGTTACATAGCTTACAGTTTAAAGCCAAGATTTTTTAAAGATTTCTTGGTTTTAAAAGGACAGGATTGAATGGTATGTGTTGTTTAGACATGCAGGTTATGCAGGTTTCGCCAAACCCTTCAACGTCTTTTCATGACTATTCTTGATCTTTTCCTCCTGCAACTTTTTGTTTCACCACAGCAGACGGCAGTAAAGCAACAAGTCGATGAAAAGATATTATGGCTGGTATTTGGCTGCCCAAGAGACGGTCAAGAGTTCACAAAATCCAAGTGGAATTGGGATGCTGCTCAGGTGTACAAGGATTGAACCTCAAACAGATGCTAAGAAAGCACCATTTTCTCCAGAAGTGGGAATTTTTGCTGAGGGATCAGCATTGAGTCAGTTAACTTTCATTGTTATTGCTTAAGTTTAACTTTAATTTAAAAAACAAAACAAAAAACTGTGTGATGAAGACCAAATTGTAAGTATGGGAATAGCACATGGGGCTGTGGGGTTTCTCTTAAATTGCAAAGACCACATTATAGATGCTAATTCTTTGTATTTATGATTAATCTCTGAATACGCTGTTTGAGAGCTTCACACTGCCACCTGCTGACTGGAATTCCTTTGATTTTTTTTCACTTGAAAAAATAGTATTGGAGTTTTTGGGGGAAGGGATGCTTTATTATTATTATTTATTTTTTTACTTTAATTGTTTAATTGGTTAATTGGTTTAAGACATCAATTATATGGTCAAAATGATCTGCATCTAAAAAGTGAACAGCATAACATACCTGTAAGGAGTGATATGGACAATTTTGACAGGTTCAAATTCACCTTCACTGAAGAAAAACTTGATTAGAGCAAGACTTTGAATATGTTTCGTAACCGCCATAAACCAGATTAGAAACATCATACAAGATTTCAGCAAAATTCTGAAATGCTTTGAGTCTGAGACCTTTTGCATCATTCACTGGTAAAACACTATCAGGTTTTGTTAAACGGCCAAATGAAGACATCAAGCAACAATAAAAAAAGTAATTTCCTCTATTTCTTGGATCAGGCTTTAAAGGGTTAAACAACCTGACCGACAGAACGCTGCAGTATTTCTGGACCTTTCTCATGTTTTGCATAGATTTCCATAGAAACACAGGTCTCATCATCACAGGTCGAAAAGTGTACTGTATTCCCCCAGTGTCCAGGAAAGTCGCTAATATTTAGTCCAAGTTGGCTTGCCAGTTCTTCCGCGTTAGGTTTATTAATTTATTCCTTTGTTGCCTTTGTCTCGCTTATTTTAAATGTGTCACTGATATAATTTGAAATGGAATTTGTAGATCTATTTGAACACATTTGTCATATTCATCATGGGAATTATCTCTATCTCAAACTGTAAAAGAAGCCCTAGAAACCTTTGCTTGTCCTAACCTGGCTTTAATCATTCCCGTTCCCCTTTGACACCAGCAGATGGCGCTGCCGGAAAAGGGGAGCAAAGACAGACAGAGAAGAAGGAGCCATGTGCTTGCAAAGATCGTCTCTCTATACAGATCACTTTTTGCATCACCCCTCCGTTGCTGGCTGGATCTTGTAACGTAGACATTTCATCAACAAAGTTAATATACTACATCAAGCAAAAACACATGAAAAAATTAATTAAGAATGAATTAATATTCTATGATTTTTCAGAGTAACTTAGGACTGTTTATGACACTGCATTGTTGCCAGTTCTTATAAAGGATATAAAAAACAACTCCAGAATACTTTTAAGTTCTGAGTTTTACCATTACACCTGTAATTAATAATAGATCTTTTCCTATTTTGTTTTAGATTTTTTGTCATAATAGATGTTTGTTATGAAATCTATGTTATAGATTAATCATATACATTTTGAAAAAGAAGCTAACTCATTTGATAAAAAAGAAAAAACACATTTGTAACAAAATAGAACAGATTGTTTAGAACAGATGTTTTGTTACAAATGTGTTTTTTTTTTAATCAAATGAATTAGCTTCTTTTTCTAAATAGATATTCACACATTTCAAAGTTCTATTTCAGTGAAACTGGTTATCGAATAAAACCTATAAATTTTGTTGATGTTGTTTTTAAGAAATGGAAAATGAGCTCATAATTTAAACATTTTTATTTTGTATTCCGTTCACATTTTCCCAGTCCTGTTAATCAGTTTGTTGATGGAAAGACTCTGTGGTGGAAAGATGTAAAAACACACAGAGTGATGCCTCTAACCTTTTATAAAACATCTTTGAACATTCAGTCTGACTTCAGCTAGCGGAGAAAAGAGCTTTCAAATCTTTAAGTAAATGCTACTCTCGGACTTAAGTGTTTAACTAATTAATTTACCAGACATGTCTTTAGTTTAGCTCCTGATGACACTAAAAATGTTGTAGCCTTGATTTAGCCGCTCACTTCTGCTTTGTGTAGTATTGTTGTTTTTTTTACTCCTTTAGCTTGTAAAGCAGTAGCGATGTTTACAGAGCTCAACAGTATCCTGAACGCCTCTCCGGACAGTCTCACGCCGGTAATTCAACATTTTAAACTCTCCTACCTTAATTACCATAACTGAATTGTCTTTCTTTGCTTCATTAATGCCGAATGCACCTGTTTTCTGTTATCGTCACTTCCTCACAAGTTGGTCTCCGGTGTTATGACGTCAAACTCAACATAAACACAGCCTGCAAAACCCTAAATTCACAAGTCTTTTTCCTGTTCATCCGCAGGGGGAATTTATCCTTCTGTCTGACCGACGGAGCGACGCGTCTTTCCTCATTCACCACTTCCTCTCCTTCTATCTCCGAGGTGAGCTGTTAACCGTGGCAGAGGTAATAGGGGGGGTGGGGGGCTTTTTGCTGTTGTGTTTAAGCGGCTGCTGCGTGTTGTTTTTTTGGGCCTCAGCTCGATGCAGAGTGTGTTTCCTGGGCCTGGTGCAGTCCTTCAGCCACTACAGCGCCGTGAGCCAAAGGCTGGTGAGAAACCCCCTCTGCCCCCGGATACCTCCATCCCAGATGGGAAAACCAGCATCTGTGTGCTCTGACTGCCATTTCTCTGTGTGTGTGTGTGTGTGTGTGTGTGTGTCCCTGTGTGTGTCAGGGTGTCAGTCTAACCCAAGCGAAGGAGAAAGGTCAGCTGGTCTTCATGGAGGGACTGAAGGAGGCTCTGTCTACTTTGATTCCCCAAGCGTCCAGCTCAGGAAGTCAAGCCATGGACTTCCTCAGGTACAGTTCAGGTGTCCACACAGGACTGACCGGGACAGATCTGGGCTCCTCTTGACGCTTCAAATGCCTCCCCAGGGATCCGGCGGCCGGCCTGCGGAGCCTGTATGAGTTTGTCCGGTCCAGCGCGGCTGATTCGGGCGCTGCGGGGGGGTGGGGGCCGCCCGTGCTGCTGGTGGACGACCTGGGCGTGCTGCTGAGCCTGGGGGTCCGGGCCGGAGCCGTGCTGGACTTCAGCCACTACTGCCGGGCCGCCGTCTGCTCCCAGCTCCAGGTTGGTGTCCGGCGGGGGGGGCGGTTAGCCGGTTCCCAGTCCGGTTCCTGACCTCAGCGTGACTCTGTGACTGTGCCGCCCGCAGGGCAACGTGGTGATGCTGCTCCGCTGCGACGGGGAAGAAGAGGAGGAGGAAGAGGAGGTGGGAGAGGAGGAAGGCTCGGGGTGGCTCCTCAGGGGCCTGACGCACCAGTGCAGCCTCAGTCTTCACGTTGAGGGACTGCCAACGGGGTTCTGCAGGGACATCCACGGACAGGTGAGACGCTGAGCCTTCTGTTCACAGATTGGTCCTTTTTTTTGGCTGTACTGCAGGTTTTTAGATGTTTCCCTGCTTCAAAACAGCCGATTTACATTGAATATATCTCTTCAAAAGATTCCAAAATCTGCAAGTGGCGCACTCATTTATGTTGGGTGTGTAGAAGAAGCATCTAAAACCTGCAGGTCTACTGTAGCATCAAGCCCAGGTTAAAATTAAAAGGTGAAAAAATTCTAAATTTAAGTGGACATGATGTTTGAATAGAAATTCAGTTAAAAGATTGATGTGTTGCAAAGAGATTCACCTCCTCCGTAATACGTCATCCTAATACATTTGAGTAAATGCAGTAATTTCCTTCTGTCTCAAGAAAAAAAAAAACCTCATGTATAGTTTTTTAAAATTGTAGTTTATGAAATATGTCCAAATATTTAGACGTATAACCAGTCTGCCTTGGATTAATTTACTGTGTTTGTTAAGCTGTGAAACTAAAACCATGATTATTATTTCATCGGAAATGCAAAGTCAATTTTTTCCCCTCAAATTTTCACCAAATAAACCAATTTTTTTTTAACTTGATCACATTAGAAAATGCTACGCACCTAGTTACCGCTCTGTTATGTAATGACAGATTGAGCCGTGCACGTGTCATCATATCAGAGAAAAACAGGATCAGTATTTGTTGTTTTCCAGGTGGAGGTGTGTTGGAGGAGGAGGCGGCGTGATGCACAGCACAAACAGAAGCAAATCTTTCAGTATAAAGTCCACGATAAAGGAGCCTCCTTTTTCGCCCGCGGGACATCCAGTGCTGTTCTCTAGCTCCAACCTTTTAACGTCCCCGTTTGGTCTGTTTTATCAACCGGTTCTATTACTGCCATAATATCCCAACTCTATAATATGTCTGCTGGCGGATTTACGGCTGGTGTCTTATTTTATAGGACTGTCCAGGACTCTGTGATCGTTGTTAAAATCAGGAAAACTACAGACACACTCTGGCTTTCAGTATTTTTGTGGTTGAGTCCATTACGTGTGCAAGCTTGCGAAAAATGAGCATTTATCAAGGTAAAGGAGCAATAAATGGACGAAAACTTTTTTTCTTGTTTATTCATCTGACAACTGAAAATAAACGAGATGGTTATTTCTACTGTGGTCTGTTGTCACTGTTTGTTGTTACACCAATAAACCAGTTATTACAAAATCAGGTAATTCAAATGTGTAGTTACTGCCCGCGTCCACCAGAGGGCGCCCCGTCTCTGCGCTCCGCTTGTTGTGGGTGAGAGGTCGAAGTGGAAAGGTCTGGCTGGGATTTGACAAGCAGTAGTTTTTACACGGTGCTCATGCCTGACAGCATCAGGAGTTTTGTCTCCAGCAGAGAAGCAGAATAAGGAATAAAACGACAGGCAGAGCGCCAGGAGGAGCATACTTACACTAACGTGTGGGAGATCCCGGCTTTCTGTCCAGGCAAGTGTGTGCACAGGAGAGCTTTTAGCCGCTAGCGCTAGCCTCGTTAGCCTGATGGGAAGCATGGAGGACTGTCGGTTTGTTTAGGCTCCTTATACTGATAACTTCTTGTCGTTGTTGTAACTAAGTAAGATAGGCTTGTGTGCTGTTCGACAAGAGTGCACAAGAGTCCACAGCTGGTCATAACAAATCAACCAAGTGTTATCGCCATGCAAGCTAACGCAAACATCACTTTTTTTGGGAGTCGCTGCTTTAAAATGACCATTTATGCTTTTGGTAATTAAAGATTTGGTCATGCAAGCTTTACGCTGATTTTTCAATACAAACCTTAGATAAAAACAATGGGGGTTTATATTAAATGTTAAGCTTAAGTAAATAGCTGTTTGTTAGCAATGTTAGCTTTTATCTTCTTGCTATCTCTTGTTGTTTCTTAGAAGTTTTTAAACAGACTTGAATAGCTAATAGAAATAACTATATATTGATGCATCCCGAGAAAAAATGTCTAATTTCAAAGTGGAGATCGTGCTGACTGTCCCAGACACCCTCCAACAATTCTGCCAGAGATTGATTGATTTTTTTTCCACCTTTTTTTTTTTTTTAAAGACCAGAAACTTTTTGGCCATCAGCACGTTGCTGCTGAAATGTTGAGCAAGTGAATACATCAGACAACTTTTGAGCTACGCTGGTTCATAGTTGGCTTCCCCCCATCGTGTGAAACTACTAACAAAGCTCATCAGTTTTCTTTTGTGTTTGTTTTAAATTTGGAGACAAAAATTCCTCCAGGTTGGATGAACTCTTTCTCTCTTGTGTGGTCTCTGCAAGATACACCTTAAAAAAAATTCCCCACGTTATTTTTTGGGTCAAAGACTCCTTGGCAGGTGATGTTGCAACAGGGTTGCATCAGCCTCCACATCTTTCTGTGTGGAAACTGTCTTGGGAGAGCCATTTCACCAGTTTGTCAACAGCAATGTGCTTTAAGATCTTAAAAACGCACTTAAAGTGACATTTAAAATCCGCTATCTCGTATTCTGTGTCAGATATGTGGCAGGTAGTCTGCAGACTACTGATGGATAATCAGTTTCAATTTAATGAGGCCTCGTTTTCTTTCTTCCTCATCCTTTCAAACTGCTGTCATACACCCCGACGTCCATGTCCAGACACAGCCCGGCTGTTACACATCATTAGTTATTATAAGGTGGTTACTGATTGACAGAACTTTTCCCTTTTTTTTTTGTCCCCAGCTCGGGGGTTGTAAATGACTGAGCTGCCGCTTCCTTCAAACCGAGCTGGTCACTGCATTTTACAACAGGACTTGTTGTCTCCACTGATCAGGGGCGCATGCTTCGGCATTATATAACCGTGTCGCTGAATTTTGATGCAATTATGCCTCGGAGAATGGATGCAGCGTAAAGGTCTGGGCTCGCCACCGGTGGATGTGGCCTCATGCTGTACAGCCAGCGCACAATGTCTCTGGGCCCGCACCCGGGATCCCTAGAGCCTTTTAAGTGGGACGATTTAGGAAGCTTTCAAAAGAGGTAAGCTGATGTTTTCTTTTCCCCCCCAATATCTAAGACAGCGTTGTCACCTTTTTTAAAAGGGGGTTAGGTTTTCTTCCAGCTATGCTGTGAGCACGTGGCCTTTGGGAGTCTAACTTAATCTGCGAGCCATCTGATTAAGCAACAAAGAGTCATCCTAACTGAGTTTTCTCCCGCTGTGTGAAAGGTTGTCTATCACGCCTGGGCTTTTATTAGCAGTGAAGTGTGACGGCTTCTCACGTGGGAACGGCCGGACTTGTGGTTGCGTGGCTATTGTAAAAGTTATTACAGATGTTTTTATCCAGTTTTCCTCAATAGTTCCCTGGTTTTTAGCAGAAATTGTGTCTGTTCTGCCCCCAGCCATCGCACTCCTAACAAATGCTTTCCAAGACTCTGATCACTGGCCAAAGCGTCTGAGGAGAACCCAAACTCTCCGTCCTGAGAGTGCTGCTCACCAGCACTCGGCTGTTGGCTGGCGTTCATTTCCCATTGTGGTCGTGGAGCTCGTCTCGTAAAGCCCCCTTCAGCCGTGCCATGCTTTTTAGGATGTGAATGTCCTTCCTGGGGCTGGCGGGGGTAGGAGTGTAGGCTGTGACCGGAGGAGGGGGGAAAGCGATGGGAGGTGGCCACAGGGCCTGTGGCCTGCTTGTTGAGTTTCCGATCGGCTCAATCCCGGATTAGTTCACTGACGGAGATGCTGCTGAGCCTTTGCCAAATCAGGCCTTACCGCTGCACCCACGCAACCCTGCAACACTTAAGGAACCGGACTGACAGCCGAGACATGGGAGCATTCATTGAGGGTTTTCGATGAGGGCCTGGCAAGGCGGCCGGCAGGACCAGGACCTGGCTCTCAGACCCGCCTGCACAAAGGGGTGGAAGGCTTTACTTCAAAGGCCCGCTCTGACCTGTGCAGAAAACCAATTTCGCAGGCTTGCCGGGACGCCGCTTTGTTTACTGTATAGAGTATTTATAACAACAGATAAAAGGGACTCCTGAGGAGAAATTCCTCCCAGGGAATGTTTCCGCTGCTCCCGGGAGGACACGCCGAGCAGCCGCACACCGTGCCTGGATCCAGAAGGGAGCTCTATGTCAACCACAGGGCGCAGATCCAGCTAAAAAAAGCCAGCGCCGCTGCTTTCAGGGGGCGTAAACAGGTGCGATCCAGAGAGACAAACTGGCCTCCTATTAACAGGTAGGGGTCTGATAGCTGCGGCAGGCTTCTGAGTGACACGGTGGCTGATGTTGTGCTGTGACTGACAAAGAATGTGCGGAAAAAGCGAAATATTGCGAAGAGTGCCGCGAAGCTACGAGCGCTGAAGGCAGCCCTGAACCTGAGTAAACACGGAGAGCAGGGCTGAGATTCAGCACAGAAGTCAGCGGGAGGCAGAGCCGATGCGGGGAAGGGAAATGCCTCGTTGTGTTTGAAGTGATGTGAACCGGCCTCAGGGAAGATATTTCACACAGCGTTTGAGCCCTGGTTTACATAGCAGTGTTCGGTCCGCCGTCCAGCACAGGCCGGTGGAGAAAGAAAAAACAACCCAAACCAATCTCAGTCAGGGATTTTAAGCACAGGTAAATGCATATGAATATTGTTCAATAAAACTATCACAAAAGACTTTCTCTGTTGGCTATGGAGGAAAAAAACACAAAATAATTTGACTAAATAATGATACAGAATGAAAATCCTGATACATTTGGGATGATCAGAGACACCTATGAGTAAAAATGATAGACAATATTGTAAACTGAAGAGAGAACAGTTTGTTTTAAAGGCTTTCTTCTGTTGTTTATTTGACAGTAGAGGACAGGAGAGAGGGGCCTCAGGCTATGACTCGAACCTTGGCCGATTACGTTCAGGAACTTCAGCCTCCATACAGGGGTCACCAGTCTATACAGCAATACCTTTCCTTTTTTTCCCCTTTCTTTCTAATTCTGAGCAGTGTAAACACCTGTTCTGCTTAAGTTCAACAGTTAGGACTTCTGAGCGGTTTACATTGAAAAGGCTGAAAATGTTTGGAAAAAATGAAAAAAAATTTTTATACATAACTTAATGCCAATCTATGACTTGTTTCAATACTAAAATGTGCGTGTTTGAACATTTGTGCCTTTTTAAATTGGGTTGTTAATTTTGTATTAAGTCAGACGTTTTAGACTTGGTCCACGTGCTATCCGAAGCTACTTGGAAAAGTGCACGCAGTCTTCTGAGAGGGGAACGGAAGGTTGTTTTCCCCCAGGTGTGATCGGTGGAGCTGGATGTTTGTCGTCATTGGGGAATGTGCCCGCAACCTTTTTTCCGTGTGTGAATGAGCCGTGTGTTAGAATCCAGCGCGGCATGTGACCGCAGCGGGAGCAGCTCTGGAGGGAAAAACACGCCGAGCTTTTAGTCAGCAGGACGCTTGGGCTCTCTGGACGGAGCTGAAGTTTTTTGGGTCTGTAGAGCAAACGCCAGGAGATAGAGACTTGGACTCGTATCGATTGCTTGTTGTCGGTTGAAAAGATTTGCTGCTGAGCTGTGCTCTTCCATCTCAGGTCCTTGGATGCCCCGCGGCGCAGCGTCCTGGGCCGCCCACTGCTTCCCAATGGCCGGGAGTTGACCACGCCCACCAGGATGACGCTGCGCGAGCAGCTGAGAGAGAAGATCTCGGCGGCCTTCTACCGCCACGGGCTGCTGTGCGCGTCCTACCCCGTTCCCATCATCCTCTTCACCTCCGCCAGCATCCTCACCTGCTGGTAGGCATTCATTCATCAAACTGGGATTGTTTTTGCGTACTTTAAAGCGCTCATCCCGGCCATCTCTGGTCTCTCTAAGGTCTGATGCTCACTTCCTTCACACAGAGATTAGTCGGCTGTTTGGCAAAAAAAGAAGCAACACTAAGTGTTCAACATATATTTTAAAGGTTTTTTAGGAAAGCGTTTCCCTTGTAATCGGCTGTAACTACCATAAAAAGCTTTTTTTTTTTCAATTGTTATCTTAAGACCTCTTCTTGTTTACGTGAATTTGATGATAGACTGAGGTTGGGTCCAGTCTTCACGTAGACGTGAGAGCAAAGCTGCCCTGTCACAAGCTGTGTTCAACCTGACCAGAAAGTGACTCAGCTCTTTGGAGACGACCATCTGTGCACACATAACAACTCCCCGCCGCCTCCACGGCACAAACGCGCCCCGAGCACGTGCGCGTACAGCACCTCCAATTGCTCAATCCAAACAGAGGACGTAGGTCAGAAACCCGCCCGGGCCCCATCGGCGAGGGAGTCGTAAAACAATCTCATCCCAAACGCGCACGCACCTGCTGCGTGCCGTCCTCGTTGCACCTTGCAGCAGGGGGTGCCGGTCAAATGAACGGCTGACCACCGCCCGGGGGGGGAGGCGAGAGGAGGAAAAAAAAAAAAAGCTAGATGACGGGGCTGTTAAAGGCAGGACTGTGACAGAGGGCTGTGAGAAAGTGGCCCTGTGAGAATGGGATGCCTGTCCCTCCATCTGCCTGTCAGGAGGGGGGCTGGCTCCACACAAAAGAAGCTTTTGTGGAGGTACAGTGACCTAGGAGAGTGGAGGGGGCAGGGGGAAAAGCTTAGAGGGAGGGGGTCGAGGAAAAAGAGAGAGGGGAGAAGTTTCCATTCTGCTAACAAGCACATGTTTAAAAGAGGAGTAACGTCTGCAGAAGTAACTGAACAAGGCCTTTATCGGGGACTGAGATTTCTCTGACCTCTTTTAAGTCTTTCCAAAACAGTCTTGTAATAGAAAAAAATATTTATTTCAAGCATAAAACCCAAATGCTGTCATAACTAAAATAATAATTGTAGAGTGGATAGACGAGTGTGGCTCAACAAGCTCATCTGTGTGAGTCTCAGTGGATTTTCTGTCAGAAAAAAGCGTGATCCCACCTCTCCCTCCTGAAACCACTGTAGTCTTTATTCCCATTTCCTTCCGTTTGACTTCAGAGAACACATGGACACACAGGCAGGCTTCTGAAGAAAGAGGCCAACCCTTTTCCAGGAAAGAGATGTAACGGGCCTCAGTAGAATTCATGAGTCAGTCTCACGGGAGAACCAGAGGTGCTGGTTTTCATAATCTGGATAGGTGTTACAACACCGAGTGGGAAGCGGCCACCTCTCCCATGAGGGTTCATTCTCTGCTCATGAATGCATTCCTGTGAACTGCTTTGCGGTTATGTCCTAAATTGCTGAACTGATTCTCCTAAACCCTCTTTTTTTTTCTACCAGCTATCCCTTGTTGAGGCTTCCCCTACCAGGCACAGGTCCGGTGGAGTTCACCACGGGGGTGCGGGACTACAGCATCCCTTCCCATGATGCTCAGGGAGACCAAGGAGAACGGCCTGACTGGGTAGGAGAGCAGAGGGGCCATAGAAAAGAGACAGTTGTACATAATCGTTTTATGTCATACAATGGATTTAGTCTTTATTGTTGTCTGCTGCAAACATACTTAAATACAGCAATTGATCCTGAACCAGTTTGTGCCTCTGAGTCAACATAAAATAAACAAGAAGCAAAAAACTTAGCAGAAACTTTGAAAACCCATAGACATGAAGTAGTGGCTCAGAGCAGTTTCAGCTCATCAAGACTTTCAGCATCTGAAGGAAGATATTAAAAATGAAAAACAAGCTGAGGGTGTAAGCTTGTCCAGTTTGTGGTACTAACAGATGTGCGCCCCACATACACGCATGTGTGTGTGTGTGTTTGCAGTACCGGGGTCCTCCGGTTGCCTACATCCAGCAGGTGCTGGTGAAGGCAGCCGTGTCTCCGTGGGACGGCGGCCTGGTGCCGGTGGACGTGTTCCGGTCCCCGCTGGGTCAGGTCTTCAGCCTCCTGGAGGAGATCCGCAACCACGTCCACTCCGACGGGTAAGAGCCTCCACACGCACAGGCTAGGGAAAAGAACTGGGTTCTGAAACCTAGGCTGAGGCTGTTTTTCCTCCTCTTAGAGGCACCTTGACCTCTGTCTTACATCATGTTTGCAGTCGGTCAGAGTAAAACCGTGAACTTCGATCTGCTTTTTACACCAGCCTGTTTTCCCTTGAACTGAGAGAAAAAATATGAACTTCCATTTACAGTTTTGGTTCAGCAGGACGCTGCGTTCAGTTCTCACTTTGGAGTTGAGAGGCGTGCTTTATTCCGCCGTGTCGAGCCGTCAGGGCGAATTGATACAGTGGATCATTCTTATCTCCATTTCAAATGCCAGCCTGTTTTCTCATTCTTTTCCCACACCTCCTCCCTCCTCTCCTTCACCCCTGCCTCCTCCGTGTCTCTTGTCTTGTCAGCTCCGGCATTCGCAGCCTGGAGACGCTGTGTCTCCAGGTAACGGACCTGTTTCCAGGGTTACGGCGGATGCAGTCGGTGCTGCCAGAGCACGGCTGCCTGCTCGTCTCTCCCGGCAACTACTGGCAGAACCAACGGGACCTGTTCGACTCGGACCCCGACCTCCTCAAGACCATCCAGAAACACGAACCGAAAGGACTGCACACCTCAGCGACGCTGCGAGGTCGAGATCAGAGGGAAAATCTCATCTTTTGTTTCAGTTTTAATAAATCCATTATCTTTTTTTTATCAATACTCCAAAGGACAGTCCTATAAGTGTGTAGGTAATTGTTTGGTTGGTTGAAATGCACCATTACGTCCATTAAACTCACTCTGTTTGAAGTAATCTACAGCATGAGCGTATGCCGGGAGGTGCTGAGCAGGGATTAGCCACACAATCAAACAAAGAGGCTGTCATATTGACAGGGAACACGCAGTTTCATTCCTTGGGAATTTAACAAATTCTCTCAATCTTTACCCACTAACACAGTGAACCCAGTGATCCTTTCTTTCTGCCCAAAGCCAAGGCATTTTTTCTCATCCTCCAACTCATGCGAGTTAGTAGTAGGAAGCTTGTTCGTGAACTTCTGAACTGGGTGAAGTTCGCATTGTGCTGCTTGAAAGTCATTCAAAGCTCTCTGGGAAAGCTTTGAAATAGTAATAACATAAAAACATCCGAGTTGGAAGATAAGATATTTTAGAAGTCAGTCTTCAGAACCTCATATGAACCTTTTGATCTCATTGGCGGAAGGTGTTTCCACTGAGTTTTGGTTCTAAGTTTGTGAGATTCAGCAGCGAAAAGGGACGTTTGAGCTAGTAATGAATTTGTCCGTTTTTTTTATTTCAGACCTCCTGTTTGGCGTTCCTGGAAAGTACACGGGGGTTAGTCACTACAACAGGAAGAGAGTGGTGACCTACACCATCACCGTGGTGCTCTCCAGCTACGACGCTCGGTGAGGAAACGCTGTTTTTAATTCTGTACCCGAAACAAGTCTTAGTTAAATCGAGTGCGGCCGATGCCTGGGGTGCTGTTTGATCGAGGCCTGTGCAGAGGGCCCGTTTCAAAGCAGTCTCTACACAAACCAGGTATTTAGCTGCATATGATAATCTATGAGCCTCTGTGCGTCCAGCTTCATGAGCAGCTTACGGACGCGGCTGAAGCAGCTCCACCCGTCGGCCAACTGCAGTCTGAGGGATGACCACATGGTTCACGTCCACTTCAAGGAGGAGATCGGCATCCCCGAGCTCATCCCCCTCGTCACCACGTACATCATCCTGTTCGCCTACATCTACTTCTCCACACGTGAGTCCGGCTGTGCCCGAGTGGCGGTACCTAACCCTCTGTTCGCCGTTCCGTCGGGATTTCGCCACTTTGTTGCTCGCCGCTGGACCTTTGGGCAGTCGGCGCACACAGAGCCGCCAAAGATTCAAAGCCACGCCCGCAGCGCGTTTCTGTGTGCACGTGCGTTAGTGTGCCAAGGTTGTTCCAGTCTAGCGCGGGGATTATCCTCACACTGGAACATTGCACACCTCTGTAAGAATGCAGGCGGCAAACCCTCAGCAGCCCGCCAGCACAAACACTGCTTCAGGACACACACGCAGCCACGGCTCTGGAATGAAGCCTCCTATTCAGGCCCTGTAGTTCTCCCCCGCCGCCGACGTCTTTAAAGTGCAAATCTATGATTAATATTCATATTATAAAATGACCAAACCGTTTTTTCCTTCTCTCAGTCCAGAATAAAAGAGGATTATAGGTTCGAATCTCATATATTCCACCTTTTCTTTGATACACGAGTCATTTATCAAGGCTGTAGTTTTTATCAAATTCTGAATAACTTTTGCTTTCAAAAATTTGGCTTTGAAATTATATGTGAGTCCTTTTTATTTCAGTATATGATCACTGGTTTTGTGATCAACCCTCTGGTAAATCTTCAAATGGTTACAAAAAAAAAGTGAAGTATTGGTGATAAAGGTTTATTTTCATTCAACTTTAATCAGGAAAATGACTATTCGTTTCAGACTATTCATGAATTATTAATAAACCACAACGGCAACACCAACTCATACTTTAAAGCTAAAGAAAGCAAATTTCTAAAAACATGTCCACGTCCCCATTATGGGGAAATCCCTGAGCCTGAAATTCAGGTTTAGGATTCAGGTTTTTCTTTTTAGAAGCAGAATCAGAGCAGAGGGCGCAGCATGCCTCATCAAATATTATTTTTGTGAGTCGAGTTCTGGCTTCGGTGATGGTTATGAAAGCCAGCATCTCGACGTTTTTGGTAATTTTATAGTAGCTCATGAGATATACTGGGAGCAGAACAAGAACACATTTTCACATATGAAACTACAGGAGGCCAAATGAAACAAAGCAGAGTCAGTAGAGTGAAATCCTTCCATAGAATGCGTGACTGTTCTTGTCCTGAGATAAAAGATAACACTTGATTTTAGAGAAAAAGCCCTCTTTTTCTACCAGTGTTCAACAAAGCAGAAAAGACAGCAAATCATCAGTTTTATGTCATCTTATTCAGATAGAAGCCCTTTAAGTGTTGCAAGTGAATGCAAAGGGAAAAAATAAGAGAAGAATATCAGCAGCAGCTTATAACTTGAGTTGGTGTCAAACACTTGTCCTCAGCTGAGAGGTTTAGACTCTTTATTCTTTTTCAAAGCCCCTGTATTTGACTAAGAGCATGTCACTCTGTGGCTGAGCTTTCTAATCGACAGTTAATAGTTAATGAGTGCGTTTCCTCTTCTTTCCCACAGGTAAAATCGACATGGTGAAGTCCAAATGGGGCCTGGCTCTGGCCGCTGTGGTCACCGTCCTCAGCTCCCTGCTCATGTCTGTGGGGCTGTGCACGCTGTTTGGACTGACACCCACGCTCAACGGAGGGTAGGAATGCCCTCGTTTTTTACACACTACACTCACAATGCTTTTATTTCCACCAAGGGCTGAGAATTTGTTTGGCATTTTTTGTCAGCTTGACGTTAAGCCAACAGGGGTCATAAGAGATTTTTGGTTTGTTTTTTTTGGTTTGTTTTTGATGTGCTGTTGTATATAATTCTGTGTTTGCTGTTCTTACTAAGATCGTTTGACCATAAGAGGTCAGCATATTTGTTTAAATGCTGGTGACATCGGGTTCAGTTGTGTGTAAAATGTGATACTCACTCAATGTTTTAGCCTCTTGGAAACTACCTCCATCTGAAATTGAGCCATTAAAATGCTCTTTATTTTCAGACACATCTTCTCCATATCTCTTACCTTGTTTACACGAGGAAAAGGACAGTACTTTACCTATTTCATCTGCATAAGGTCACATAAACAGCAGATCACTGACTTCCTGTTTCCTCCATATTGATTTCACGTTGACTTGTGTCAATGTTTATGACCAGAGGTCAAAAAGTCAGTGTAATATGCTGATTTTTAATCAGCACAGGGGTTGGAAGAGGGCTGGGTTAGCCCAGGGGGCGGGGATATGGGGTTATTGACGTGTCCCGCTTATCCAATGGTTGGAGGGTTGTTAGAAAGCCGACCGCATGGCGTGACAATGGTACACTGTTGTCCAACCACTGAGTAAGATCCACGCAAGTCTGCCGTGGTCTGAGCTTGCACTTTGTGCTCCAACAAACACACACCAAGGTCAGCGTGACCGGGCAGTTAGTGCTGGAAGGACACTTAAAGATCAGGGTCCTTTGCCAAGGCCACAAAAAAATAAATAAATAAAAATTCTTTATCTCAATTATTTGATCCTCACCAAACTTTGACAGTGTCATTCTTTTTCAAGCTTTCATGTGTCATTTATCCACAATTTTTTTGTTTGTTTTTTTTTAGTTGTAATGTTGGTAACAAACAAACACACAAAGAACACAAACTGAATTCAAGGCCGAGCAGCACATTCTGCTTTGTCACGATTGGCACCGACACGCGGAGCTGCTGAGCTACTGGCAGTGATTGGCTGCGTAAGAGTGTGTTACCAAGCGCAGAGTGTGTGTGTGTGATGTAATGTGTGGAGCTGTTGACTCCTCTGTGACCCAGTTATACACTTACCTCTAAAGCTCAGGCTTATCAGTACTCTCAAACTAATCTCTCCTCACTCTTCGTCTGGGGAGGAAATTCCCTGCAGACATCTACCAAATATTGATGGGTTGGTTGTAAATGCAGTTGAACATTCATTATTCTGGTATCTGATCTGACAGAAAGATGTAAATTATTTTTTTAACGCATTAAACTGTTTGTCTCACTGCAATGTCCATTTTTACCGGACTTCTATAGTTTGTTTATTTTCATTTTGCGGCATCATTTTTTGTTGCTCTGCTGAAATAAAACTGGGAAAAATCCTCTCGTCAGCCACGGCTCCTTTTTCAGTTTTCCTCATTTCCTTCCTGCAGGGAGATCTTTCCGTACTTGGTGGTGGTGATCGGCCTGGAAAACGTCCTGGTCCTCACAAAGTCTGTGGTTTCCACCCCCGTTGACCTGGAGGTCAAGCTGCGCATTGCTCAGGGTGGGGTTGCATTGATTTATTCTTATTAGTTTATTTGCAGTTAAAGTTGAATGAACTTTTATTTCACTAAGTTTGCCTCTTTGTTCCTTCAGGCCTCAGTAATGAGAGCTGGTCTATCATGAAGAACATGGCCACTGAACTCTGCATCATCCTCATTGGATATTTCACTCTGGTTCCAGCCATCCAGGTACAAGAGAGATGCTGCATTGCTCAATAAAATTGATGGTTAGACGTATTTATCAACAGTCTGCTGAGATAGATTTCATGAATGCACTAGAAAAGGGATGCATGTAATGAACGGCATTTGGTCATTGTGCTGCCGTGTAACAGGGTTTCTGTGCTTTTCAGGAGTTCTGTCTTTTTGCTGTCGTCGGGCTCGTGTCTGACTTCTTCCTGCAGATGTTCTTCTTTACAACAGTTTTGTCCATAGACATCCGCCGCATGGAGGTGAGCAGAATCCTTTATAGGCACTAAAAACTAGCTCCACTGGTGAGAAACAAATGCAAACAGACTGCTGCTCATTGGTTGACTGCTGACCGTGAAGAAAACCTGCTGATGCCACATCTAGATAATCTCCATCTGTACAAAGATGAGAATAATCCCGAGTGTGCACCCACTGCTTGTCATTCTGAGGCTTCTCTTTAATAGTTAAAGTTTTCTCTGGATACAACAGCCTCTCTCCCACAGCAAATATAGATTAGAAACCATTAGAAAATTCAACACAGTCAAGACTGTGATCTCTGTCAGATCAGTCATGCATTTGACATGGAGGAACGTCTAAATCCTCACTTGCCAAGTTAATATAATGTGAGGAAAAAGCTAAATAATTAAATCGAGCCAAAACGAAAAACTTGGCCACTAACATACACCTCTCCATTCTCGCAAAAAGAGAAGGGCACACGAGAGGTCAGGTGGCAGCCACAGGCCCAATGATGAGTTCAGCATAGTTTTCAGATTATTGTTCTCCCACATGAGCCCTTCTTACCAAAAACCTCTTAGCAAATCATTTAATCAATATTTAGCTTCTAAATGAGCATTAACATTTAAGCCTCTTTATTTACATACAATGAGACATTAGCTCTAATGACCAGTAATGATTAGAAGAATGTGAAAAGAGTGTACATAATGGATTATTGGAAGTATTGTTCATACATTACAAAACAATGCCGGCACTGTTAATCAGAATCATTGTGTCTTAATAATTATTGTATTAACTAAGTAAAGAGTCAAATACTTCTCATCCTGTAATTAATTAAAACTAAGGAAAGTCATATGAAAAGCTAAGAATTACTTCAATAATTAGTTGTCATTAGTTATCAGAGACATTATTTCTCTATTGTTTCTACCTTTTCTGCACGTCTTCATGACTTTGGGTGAAATATATGATCCAGTATTCGTAAACAAATGTCCACCTCTCCTAAGTTGGCAGACTTGAACCGCCGGCTGCCAGCTGAAGCCGGTCTGCCCCCCCCAAAGCCAGGCCCCCTGCGAACGCGTGAGGTGCCCCCGCCGCCTCGCCCCTCCCCCCACACCATCACCCTGCAGACGCCAGCCTTCCGGAACCTGCGGCTGCCCAAGAGGCTGCGCGTGGTGTACTTCCTGGCCCGCACACGGCTGGCGCAGCGCATCATCATGGTGAGACGGCGGGTTTCCACTCCCCCGTTCTTATTTTACCAGTTAGCATTCTTAGACTGACGGGGGATATTTTATCTTTACGAACAAGACAATAACATAAGACTTTGTCAGACAAGATACCTTTTGACATATAAAGATACCAATACACCTTAATTCAACAGTTAAATACAAAATTGTCTGTTTTTAAAGGCGGGCACAGTAATCTGGATTGGCATCCTTGTTTACACGGACCCTGCTGGCATCAGCACCTACCTGGCCGCGCAGGTGTCCGAGCAAAGCCCCCTGGGAGACCCCGTGGCGGCCGGCCTGCCCCCGCACCTGGCGGTGGCTCCAGTTTTTCGTGGAGCAGACCCCACCAGCACCCTGAGCATCCACCCTCCACCAGATCCAACCCCTTTACCCGAAAACCAGTCGCAGGGCCACCACGAGGCGGCCAGGCCCGGGCCCCTCCCCCCGGCTCCTCCCGCCGTGCCTCAGATCACCTGGGGCGCGGAGGATGACGAGGGGTGGAGGAGGCTGTCTTTCAGGCACTGGCCTTCCCTCTTCGGCTATTATAACATCACTTTGGCAAAAAGGTGAGTGAAGCGGACGCTGTTGATTTAGCTGCGAACATTCAAAATAACCTTTTTAACCTTATCCGTTGAAACCATATACTGTTTTAGTTCTAAATATTCCTTAGGGAAACTATAATATTTCAAACCTTTGGTTTAAATGGCAGTTTCGCATGTCAGACATGTAACTGTCTCAGTAGTAACTTAAAAAAAACTTGTTATGAAATCGCCATAAAAGAGTTCAGATTTAAGACACCTACTTGACATGTTTTTGATGCTTTCGATCTGTTCATTTCAAAGCTGTTGGTTTCTCATAGACCATCTGTAATTATTGACAATCAGCAGCATTCTGGTGATGGTACGAAATGCAGAATGCATTCAAATGTTTTGATGGGCTCCTCGTTTCGTGTCCACTCTCAGGTATATTAGCATCCTACCCGTCATTCCCGTCACCGTTCACGTCAGCCCCCAGGAGGCCATCGAGACACGTCACCCCCAGGACACCAGGCACCCCCCGCCCCTCGTTCCCAAAGTTTCTGCCGACTTGCAAACAGACCTCACTCTCTACAAGTCAGTGTTCAGCAGGCGCACAGACATGAACTTTACTTTAAAAACCAAATCCTCCTCAGTTTTCTGAAGTAACCTGCTGTGTCCTGTAACACATTTGGAACAATGTGGAGACCATGGAGATGGAACAGAGAGAAAACATTTCTAGGTTGTTATCACACTGAATTTAGAGTTTTAAACTACCAAAGATTGTCTAAAACAGGATTGGCAGACTTTTACACCCTCTTGATTTATTTATGTTCTGTTTGGAATTGTTTTTAGATACTTTCAACTAAACCTGCTGTGCATTTGTGGTTAGAGTAAATAGTAACTTTGATAACCTCTGGGGTTAAGATGATGTTTAGAAAACAGTTGTCTCTGACACTTTAGGAAACCTATGAGCCATTTTGGGATAAAACTCGCTTTTCACATGACTGCTTCAGTCCTCCCCCCCCCACAGCTGAAAGGAGGCTCCAACACCAGCTCGGTGTGGAGTTTCCTTTGTGCTGTGTTACATAAGGCAGTGTGACATCCTCATGGCAGCAGTGCACTGAAGTGGAAGCGCCTCTTCATCAGCGTGAGGGCCGTTGTCTGGAATGAGGTCAGGGCCGCGACCCTCACAGTTGGGAAGAGGCAGCCGAGTTAGGGTGACCCTGATGCAAATGAGGGCCAGCATGAGGTCAGAACAGGACTCCCAGATGGACGGCACGGTGTGTAAAACACAGCTATCTAATGGAGTTAAACACATTTCACCTGCTTGACTAAACTGCCAGTGAGAACTGCACAAAAGCAAACATCTCTATTAGTAAGAAGGAAGCACAAATCCTTCTGCAGGTTTTTATTTTATGGGATCTACGAGAAAGATTTGGGAAAAGACGTTTCATGGAGTTGTTTAAACCAGTTACATCACATCCCCTTGAGTTGCCTTCTCCATAAGATGCCATGTGGCAAAAAATGGAGTCACATCATATATGCAACTAAGGGCCTTGCTCTTAGTTTTATCAGATTTCTGACTCTGCGTTAGCGGCGGCATTGTGCAAAGCTAAGCAGGGTCGAGTCTCTGCCAGGATCACATCCGATTCCCTTTTGAGGCAAGTACAATATGTTCTGAATACACCCGAACGTGCTTTGTGTTCAGTTTAAAGAGCATATTCTTCCGTCTCATCCCCAATATCAGCATGTATTCCAGGAGGCAAGGCGTAGCTCTCTGTGAAGGTTAATGCATTCTGGGACTACAGATGGCTTTTATTTCTGTCTTCCTCATCGAAACACACATGCAGCATCACTGCTGCAGAGGTTCGAGTGTCACAGAGACTGTTTGAAGGCAGAGAAAGTTACACTTCTTTGGCAGAGTTCATCATCAGGCCGGCTCCACATTCCTCAGCGTGAAGCTGATTTTCAGCACAGCTTCGGAATATCTGGATGAAAAAACAGGCTGTCAGTTAACGTGGGAGTTGTTTTTGTTGTTTTATTAGAGAGCCATCTGCAGCTTAGAGAACAGTGAAGTTCACAGTTTCTGGATTTAAAGACACTAAAACCCACGCTTAAAATGTAACGTGTTGCTGTGAGGCTATCCACTATCCGTTCAGGTGCTGTTTAACATGAATGAATGCTGGTATGAGTTAAAAAAAACGTATTTGCCTTTTTAAAAAGGCCTTTTTTTACGCATCCGTCGTCTCCTCGCTGTCCAGGGTGGCGGCTCTGGGGCTGGCGGCGGGCGTCCTGCTGGTTCTCCTGCTCTTCTGTCTCTATCGGGTGCTGTGCCCGCGTAACTACGGGCAGAACGGCGTGGCTCACGGGCGCCGGCGGCGCGGAGACCTTCCCTGCGACGATTACGGCTACTCCCCCCCCGTCAGCGAGATCTCGCCGCTGCTGCTGAGAGGACACAGTATGGTGAGGAAAGACTGAGAGAACACCTGGAAAAACGATCGCCGGGCGGCAAAGAGTTACGATAAGCTTTTTTTTTTTCCCTGTTCGCAGGACATCGAGTGTTTGGCCAGTGACGGGATGCTGCTGGCCAGCTGCTGTTTGGCCGGACAGATCCGGGTCTGGGACGCCCAAACCGGGGACTGCCTGACCGTGATTCCAAAGCAGATGTGAGACAGTCCGAGTGTTTGCTCTTTTTGACAAGTCAGGGAGTTTTAGCCTGTGTAGGATTCCCGTTTCCTCATTTGAATGCCTCCTGATATGCTTCTTTTCAACTGTAGCAACTTCTCCCAGAGGCTTTCTGGAGGGCTTTAAAAACCAGCATAGACACATTCAGCCCTTAGTTACATCTGTCTCTCAGTTAGAGCTCTCGGGGGCCTTTTTCATCCAGCTGTCTTTTATCGTAAAAAATTCAATTCAATTTTCAATTCAATTTTATTTATGTAGCGCCACATCACAACAACAGTTGTCTCACAGCGCTTTTCAAACAGAGCAGGTCAGACCCTACTCTGAAGTTAATTACAGAAACCCAACAATTCCCACCATGAGCAAGCACTAGGCGACACGGGCAAGGAAAAACTTCCGTTTAACAGGCAGAAACCTCGAGCAGAACCACGGCTCAGGGTGGGCGGCCATCTGCCTCGGGCCGGTTGGGGGTGAGGGAAAGAGAGGGCAAGAGAGAGTGACCGGAAAATGATCTGGTGCTGCGGTTTTTCTCTGCAGGTTGCGGCGCAGCAGCAGCAGTGGCTGCTGGGAGCAGCGGGACGGCTGGGACGGCTTAATCGGAGCGGCGGATTCGGACTGTCTGGACCGAGCAGGTCGGGATCCCTCTATAGGGTGCGACAGCCTGTCGGAGGACGAGTGCTACCCCGTGCGCCGCCGCGCCGCCGCCCCGCCCCGCCCGGCCCTCTTCACCGACCAGCCCGACCTGACCCCGCTCATCGACACCAACTTCACCTCCCAGCCCCCCCCCTCCCACCTCGCCACTCCGCCCAGAGGCGGCTTCGACTTCGGGGGCCTGGTGGAGCGCGCCTACATGGAGCACGAGCCGCCCTCTCCCTCCGCCTACCCGTCCCCCTCCCCGGCCTCCTCCTCGCCGCCGTCCGGCGCCCAGCCCCAGAGGCGGCAGAGCTTAGGGGACGGAGCGGCGCTCTCCAACCCGGAGAAGGGCTCCGCCGCCGGGACCCCGGCCGCCGCAGACTTTGACAGCTCGGTGTGGGCCATGGAGCTGAGAGGAAACCTGATAGCGGCCGGGAGGAGCAGCGGCAAACTGGAGGTGTGTGGAACGATGCCTGTCACAACGCCGCGTTACTTTGTGCTTTAATGGTTGGACGTATGAGGGGAAAAATCCATCTGTCGCTAAAATAAATGGTGTCACAGTCGCTGATAAAAATGCCTCCCCCGGTTTGGTTACAGCTGTGGGACGCAGTGGAAGGATCGCTGCGGTGCTGTAACGAAGACGGAGCGTCTGGGATCACAGCTCTGGCTTTCCTCAACAACAGGTTAAACGATTAGAGAAAAAAGCTGGTCGGCTCCACTGATGCTGTTATTAGATTTGGGCTCACACCGGGACATTTGCCTGCTCCAAGCATTAGATTTTTATTCAAACCTTAACCTCTTGAAACGTGATAAAAAATCCACACCTGAAAAATGATGAATTAAAGAAAAATCCCACCTGTTAACTTTTCCTGAAGAGCAACACAACATGAACTACTGCTCTGATTGGCTGCGCCTCACGTCTAAACGTATGGTAGTAAAATGCTTTCTTCTTCCGCCCCCCCCTCTGCAGAATCGTGGCGGCCCGTTTGAACGGGTCCTTGGACTTCTTCACGGTTGAGATCCACAAGCCGTTGGGGCTGCTGCAGTACAGGGGTAAGGCTCCTCTTCCTCTTCTGTCCGGCCGCTCGCAGCTGGGTGGAGGACTGATTTCTCCCCCCCCCCCCCCCCCCCCCACCCGAAGGCGCCCCGGGCCGAGGCAGCGTGCCCCCGTCCCCCTGCTACAGCAGCGAGGACGTGATCAGCTGCCAGCTCACGCGCTCGGTGCAGTGCGCCCACCAGAAGCCCATCACGGTGCTGCGGGCGGCCGCCGGCCGCGTGGTGACCGGCAGCCAGGACCACACAGTGCGGGTAAGACACAGCGAAAATACACACATACATACACGCCCCCGAAAGACGAGTCCTGTTCACGCCCCGCCCCCCTCCGGCCCCCGACAGGTCTATCGCCTGGAGGACTCGTGCTGCCTCTTCACGCTGCAGGGCCACTCCGGGGGCATCACGGCCATCTACATCGACCAGGTCCGTCCTTCAGCCGGCCATTTTTTTCTTTCTATTTTGTGATTCACTGTTTTGTATTTAAGAACAAATTCCCAAGCTTTGATACAAATCACATGACCCATTAGGTCATAAATGAAAAAATAATA